TACTCATCATAAAAGTGACCGGGAAAGTCCAACACCTACCGACCACAAGGCTGTCACGACCAGTGAAAACGGCGGACAGGATGTCCTGGAAGTCCACTTGGTGCATTCAAACAAGTTTGCTGCTTCTGGATACCCGGGTTAGAAAAGAGAAGATATTTGTCTCTCAGTCGTAATATTCACCAACATTATGAATCTCTGATGTGGAGTGGTATTAACATCCATGAATTACGCAGTCCTGGAATCATCAATGAAGTACAATATATAAACAGTTTGCGCATACATTCCTTCATTAACTTTTCCCCGTTATCTCAAGCAAAAAGCACAAACTGTTACAATGGAAGCATTAGCTTCAAGCTGTATTTTTTTCCAGGTAATACTTATAATGTCTAGATACAAGCCTGGTTTTTCGTGAATGCGAAGACGATACTTCCACCCGTCCAACTTGTAAATTTTCTGCATACCTATTCTGCTGGGATGTTCCATTATATGAACATGCCGCACTTATATTATCTACTGACGATAGGTGGGATCGAGACTGGCTTCCATGAAAACATGCAATTTACATAGAAACTTATTCATACCCGTAAAAATGGTGTGTGCTTGTATATTCAGGAATAATTATTATCTTTGTTATTATTATTATTGTTATTATTGGAAGATGTGGTCCCGACTGATTTCCAACTGTTAGGGATGGGGCACAGTCATGCGCTTGCCTGTGTCGCTTGTCCAGAATTGGTCGGCTATTTGTTTCGGTGATTAAGTGTGATGTCAGGAAGGGGAAAACCCGTCAGTGTCCGCCAGCTTGTAGTAAGATCTTATGTAAACGTTAACGCTGTACCTGATGGACTCTGATGATATAATTTGAACTGTTTCTACAGGAAGAGCTTTGGCAGCTCACAGAGCCCTTTTGGTACAAAAGTTACGCCCAACTGCTGTCTTCATAATCTAAAGTTACAGGTTCTGAGTATTCGCTCTGATTTTAGAACTAGATTTCAGGCTGACATGTGGCACTGATGAGGTTGCACTTTATTACTGAGTCATCTCACAGTCTCCAATATTCTAATGAACGTATGTGGAATACTGCATGCGTTCTTGACATGTTTACGCCCGCAGTCTTGAACCGATTAAGTATATTGTCCTTAGATGCATTCCAGCCTTGTTGACTGAGCTGGGAGGTAAAATCGCGCAGTTTCGAATACTGATTGTAGTGTAAGGTTCAGTTCAGAATTGGCTGCAAACACCATGAACTAAACTGTCGGGACAACGGACAAGTACAAGAGTGGAATGCACGAAATGTAGCCTTCTCGCCTGCAATACGCGCGACGAATCGTTAAGCTTATCCTGATATTCATGAATGCAAAACAGGTTAACTCATTAAGATAGATAAATACAGGGAACCAGTTGCAGGAGATTTCGACCCGCCATCACTTGATTGGGGCAGCCTGACGACGAAGTCGCCAAGAAATTGGTTCTGTTGAAGCTCGACTAAAACGATAGTTTTAGCTGCTTTTCTCAGTAGTTTACAGATCACCACCATGCAGCTAATAATAAGCTCATCGCTGAAATCCACTGGTCTCAAACGCCATACGAAACGCGTCTCGTTAGGTCTGCAATAGAACACCGAAACGGTCTTCTCCTTTACCTGGCCTACAGTATACAAACGAACCACGGCATCCCAACCGTAATTGGGGAAACAAAAATTAACCAGTTAAGTGAAGGAGGAAGGAAGTCAGCGGAACCGATTGTCAGATGCTTCGCTGAAGCAGTTAGCGGAGAACCTTCAAGTTAAATGACGTAAACGGTAGCGGCATTAAAAATAGACATAAAAGGCTTCAGGGCCGTCGACTGGATATGAGAAAATCAGCAGGTCTAGACAAAGCGCTCCGAAGAAGCTCAAAGTGCTTACGGCTTACACGGCTAAAGCGCTGATTAACACGTTCTGGTTATCAGTCAGCCAGCTACGTGTAACCAAAGGAAACCCCGGAGTTTTGGCAACACCCATCAAATAAGCGAACAACAAGCTCGATTGGTACCAAGGCAAGAAACCCAAGGGAAGAAATTGGGACAGCCATAATGGTTCGGCTGAAAGAAGGCACTCCACTGCCGCAACTGCTACACGGCTTTCAGAAACATTTTTCACGCTTGAAAAACCACACTGTCAGAGAAGCCTTCGTAAAGTCTGAGGTCATTAGTCGGCCTGTCGACATCATTTCCACAGACTACCGTAGGACATATGATAAGGCCTCCACTTCTGGTTTCTCATGGGACCGTCCGTCGACAGACATGTACCAGAAGGCCCACTGCTGGTGGGAATCGAGGATTAAAGATGCCCTCTCAGCTCTTCTCTAAGGTGTTAATACACAGTGGAGTGCAAAGAAGCACATTCCTTTGTTTTCTACGACTTCTCTAACGTACAAGTGAACCAGCGAGCATTAAAAATCTTCCAGGATTCTGCATGCTGCGTGCTGTGTGTGGGAGGTAATTACGGATGATTATGACGCGTGTGTGCTTCAGACAAACCAAACCAGTTTGCCAGTCCCCTCATGAAAACAACTTACATCCATCAACACAGATGGCTGTGCAACCATGTGTATAGGGCGTGCAAACGGCGACACTTGCGACATTGGTGGAATTCCTCCTCCATCAGCACCATACAAAAGTGATATCGGATCCAAAGTAAGTCATGGTCTGAAAGCAGCAGACTACTACTGACTACAAGATACTCGTGGCCAGTGAGCACAATTTCCAACGGGATCACTCGGGATATGTTAACCGCATTGCATGTTGCACAAGCCGGACCGGAAATCCAAAACCGAATGCGCCTGGTAAGTACCTGTTCCAGGGGTTATAATCTCTGACCACAATTCAAAGAGCGGCAACTCACGCGGCCCACAAGGTTGCAAACCCCACGTATGAGAGAGAACTTCAGGCGCCGATACTATTCTTTATCGCATTGGAGACACATTAGTCAAGTACTTAACCAAAGTAGCAAGAAACCAACAGCACGCAAAAATAGTCGCCCGCGAACCTTACTCAGAACAGCAAGAACACACTACAGAACAACAGCTCTGACAGGAGCAGAATAAAGTTACTTGATATCTGCCCTCAGGAAGAAATGTCACTCCTGAAACTTCATCTGGCAATGCCTATCCCATAGATCGTCAACTGTAAATTCACCGACGGAAATCAGCAAGTGGACCATCGTAAAGTTCGTATAGAAAATGTCAGAGACCACAGCAATCCTAATGAAACTATTCGAAATTAGTATGCCCCATAAATCAGAAGATCCCCTTCAAACCACGCTACCCGTATGAAAACATGAAATGACTAAAAAGACAAGCCAAGAAATATTTACAAATCAAATGCAACAATTGAGACCAGCACTAATCCGAACAAAGTGGTTGCCCTCTTCGCCTTCGTTTACATAAACATCGGTTGACAACTAAACGTAACTACACTTCGCCACTCAAATCAGTGCACGTGGACAGCTGCAGACAGAAATTCAACTTCAAAAATGTAGAGATTTTGAACAGAGCAGAAAAGAGGAATGCCAGAAAAGTCCCAGAAGCTTGGCATTTAAGTCACTAAATGCACGAACCTAAAGTCGGTCTATCAAGTGATAAACAATAAGATGGCAACTAACCAGGTCGGAGGTGAGGCTAAGACACAGCAAACAGAAAAATCGGTGGAGTCAGTGACACAGTAATCAAAGCAAACTACCAATCACAATGACTTCGCCGAGGAAACCAGCTGAACCATGAAGAAATACTGGCAGATCACTTGTGTTGAGGTTAAACTTGGTAATAATCCCCAGAAAGGATGCAAACTTCACTAAACCACCAACCAGCCCAGTGAAGTGAAGACAACGAAGTGCAAAACTGAAGTACACACAAGATCTCACGGCAAGCTTATAGAAAAATCGATACTGGCTCGTTTTGTGCGTGTTAACAATCGGCACTTCTAATCACAGAAAAGTGGTCGACCGATTCTAAATTGAAAACTCTGGTTTGCGGATGACCGTACCCCACCGCCAATCTTAGGATACCATTTGAAACCTTTGGATGCGCAAAACGGAAGAGGGAACTTACTATCCTTATCAGTCTGGTTTAAGATACCAGTCTTGTTTTTAAGAAAGAACAAACTTGTGTGGAGACTCATCTCATCTGAGACTGAACTATCAACTCACCAATCGGAGTCACAGTATGCTGCATCTAAGTTACTTCCTCTTCATATTCATTTTCGTCATCTATATGAGACTGGCTGACGCTCATTTCGTATCGTCAGTAACATCACCTTAGAAATGAAGAGAGTCAAAGCAGTCCACTGAAAAGGGTGACTGGAAGCTGATGTTTCACGATGAGGCCAAAGCCTTGAAGATTTTTATATGCTTCAATTGAGCCTGGAAAGTCAAGGAGCTTCATTCAAAGGGCGATGAATGTGTGGTTGGAATTATGTTTCGAAGGCACAGGCCTAATGAAATCAGTACAGTTAAGTCCAGAAAAAAGTTTTTAAGTGACAAGGAGAGTGCACATAAAATAAAACATTTAAAAATCCTCATTGGTAGGTGACATATGAAACGTGCTGATTGGAATTTTAGATAATTTACCTAATGATGAGTTGCAGCCGTTTTTCGTTGAGAATTCGTCTTTGATATTCCAAGTGTTCAGTGACTGCTTCTTCGGTTTAGAGTGGGATATCAAACTGAGAGGTATACATATGATTGTCAACGGCTTCAAACTGATTTGTAGGTAGCGGCAGTTATGTTAAAGATCTAGATGTAATACTTACAGTTTTTGAGGTTGTATCATTTTTGTGTGTAAGTGATTTTTAGAAAATTCTTTTGCTACTACCGGAACACATCCATCAAAGGTGGCAGTACAATTGCATAAGTAAGTTTCTTGGGGTTTTGATGAAGTTCGCTTAGTTGAAGTAATCGAGGACCTCCTTTATGATAAGAATGCGCTCGCACTTCGTAAGAGAGGAATCAGGCTATTCTTGATATGGTATCAAATCCTTGGACAGAATGCAACATCTGTTTGTCACAATCTCTTCAACAACCTTGTCCCGAGTTCGGACCACTCGTTTCAGAATATCAGAAGCGGGAAAAAAGCAGTGAGCAGACAAAAAGTAGCCATCTTCAAGGCAAAAAACCTGTCAAAGACATAAGAGGACAGGTTCCTCAAGAGTCCAGAATCTCAAACATTGTCGCTCCACGGGAGCGTGTTGCACTTTTAACGGCTGCTACTTTGGGGGAAGATGGACCCGTAAGTGTTATTGATTTGTTGTTATGAAACATGGTCGTGTAGGTTGATGACGAGTCCCTGGTTCTTCTCCAAGCTCTGTTACGTTATTTGGTCACTGAACCAATTAAAGTCGAGTGGTCACAACTTCGATATGAGCAACATTTAATGCAGTTGTGGTTTTTATTTGAAAAGTTGAAACATTCATATCTCCCTGTAATCTTCCCGTGGTGAGTATTTTTAAAATTCAGTTATTTAAATACTAAACTTGATGTTTGCTTAGTAATAGTCGTTTTTAGCAGGCAATTATTGAAGTGTATCTAGTTAGCTCATTTATCAAAGATCTGGCAACATATAAACATCGGTTTGTCACGACACAATGCAGCCCAATGTTGAGCAATGGCTAGAATGTGATTAGTTGCTGAAGGCTCTTTGAATCTTCCAAGGTGTTGGGACTTCGGGAAGCCAGAGTTCTGTGGGCTTGGGTTAGTCTATGCAGCAACTGCTGATCAACGGTTTCAGGAAGTATCTGCTATTTGTGTTAACACTGCTGTGTGTTGTATGAGTAGCGCTAGCTTTAAGTATAAGAATTGATATTAATAACGTTTTGCCTTTTGTTTTCGCACAGTTTATCGCCGTCTTACTCAGTTTATTCCCCTACAACATCATCCCAGATAAGCGGCACAGTTTCGCTGGCTTCCACTGTTTTACAAGATTATCCGATTCATCTGTCTCGTCTTTCATACTACCAACTGGAGGTCACATGCTGGTTGGCAGGTTTTGTATATAGTGGTCCACGGGGTTCGAGTCACGCAATGTAAGTTTTTCCATTATTTCATGAAATGTTATTTTGTTCGTGTAGGTCTGTTGCTTGGTAGATTATGGATTATGCATAAGATGAAACTTATTGTTTATCCGTAATGCTTAGTCATTTATCGGTCAAGGTATGTTGTCTTGGTGTTTAGGTGGAAAGGAGTATTCACATCGGTACCGAAAAGAAATTGGTATAGTGTCACGATCTATAATAACAATTATTATAATATTTATTCCTCAATATACAGGCTCACACCATTTTTACAGGTGTGAATAAGTTTCAATATAAACTACATAAATTACAGAAAGAGCTTCTCAACTGGAGAACAGTCAGCGGCCGTCTACGTGCTGTTCGACTGCATGGATCTGTGGGAACTAGGAGGTGGCATGAGACTAAACAATGTTCGCTTAATTCTAGCTATCGTTAACTTGAAGCATAATGGGAGGCACCGTCTCATACGGCGTCCGCCAACACCAAACCAACGATGGACACAGATGGATCATATCGCTATAAGCCACCGGTGCAGGATCGCTGCGGTTCCCGAAGTAGCAGTTTGAAATCTGGCTAGTGCATACCAGTGCCTTACTGGTCGCGGGAAACAGGCGATAGTAAAGCTTGCCCATGGCCGACTGGAAGATGAGGACACCAACTACGTATTTGGGGAGGAGTTAGCTAAGCAGTTATCTGAACGTGACACCAATGCTCATGCTGGGGAAACCAGGTGTCAAACTAAGTCTTGTGCGAAAACATCGGTAAACACAGTTGACAACTTACGCTCGAAGGTTAGCAAACGTCATCAGATTACCACAAAGTCATCTGAACTGATTGATGCGAGAAGACTGATTGGAGTTAGCTGTGACCACAATGAGGAGCGAAGGCAGCTTACACGTGAATCGAACAAGAGTCTTGGCAGTTATCGGGGGCAGCGGTGAGTGGTGAAAACGAGAGAGATGGAGGAGACATCTGCGCTGGGTAATACCAAGCAGCGTTTTAGGCTTAATGATGATACCTGTAATAAGAAGACGATGGAGAGTGAAGCCGTCACTGAAAAGAATAGCACTTTTATAACCTCCCAGGACGAGTGGTTAGGACGTTAGACATAACACTTTGAAGCACGTTTCAACTGGCCCCCAGAAACGCCTCAAATGCCCAGTGTACAGCCTGAACTTGAATGGGAAGTAGATTTTAGTCCACCCACTATCTTTGAAGTTGAGAAGACTGTATCGGGCCTAAAATGATACAAAACGGGGGGAACTGACAGTTTGCCACCCGGAGTTTTCAAGAATGGAGACGGGGGATTGCTGTTTAAAGTGACGGAGGTACTGGGTAGTGGATGGGAATCAAGGGTAGTGCCGTCGGGCTGGTATACTTCATTAATCATCCCAGTCTGTGAGAATGGAGAGAAGTCTCTCCGTGACAATCGTAGGCGAATTAGTTTGACTAATTTTGTGTCGAAGATCCAGGGGTGCATAGTTATCTGACGCCCAACTGGAGCCTGAGTCTAGCAAACGGGAGAAAAACGGGCGGATTTCAGACCTGGACGATGGTGCGTCAATCGCATTTTCACCCTCCAACAGGTTCTGAAACACAGGCATACTTACCGTCCAATGACCTACACTTGCCATATTTTCTGACCTGAAGGTGGCATTTGATTTTGTCTACTGCAAGGTGTTGTGGCAGTGTCTGACTGTTAAGAGAGTACCGGGAAATATGTGATGCATAACTAAGCTCTCTACTTGACTTCACGCAGCCACGTAAAGGCTTATGGAGAGTTGTAATCTGAACTGATGATGACTAGTGGCGTCCACCAGGGATGTCCATTGTCACGGTTCCCATTCAACTTCGTCGCAGACATACTAATGAACATAACCTTAGATAGACCTGACTTCACGGGGATCAGCCTACTCCCTAGAGGTCATCTGGTTGACTTGGAGTATGTAGACGATATTGTCCTGCTAGGTGCAGACGCTGACAAATGGCAGAGTTTTCTGGACGTGTTGAGCAGAAATCTGAGTACGTAGGCATGCGTTTTGCCCCCGTCGAATTTAACATGATGCCTGTTTGTCATTTGCTAACTTGCTTCATTTATGGCGCCTGTGCGATATCCGATATTCTATCAAAGGATGAGTATGCTGGGTTGCAGTCCGTTCTGTCTTATTGTACGGTTGTAAGGTGTGACCGTTAGAAGTAGAGGACATGTGACACTAAGCATTTTTATCGTATGTGTCTTCGTTGCGTTTCTCGTGTTTTTTGGAATCACGGTGTCAGCGTTTTTAGGGTAATACGGGGGCACTAAGCAATACAGGCAAGTCAATTGATGAGGTTATTAGCCTTCATTGGTTGAGGTAGCTTAGTCATGTATTGTGTGTGTCGAACCGCCACATGGCCTACTCATGTTGGATTAGAGAGAAGGCTAAATGTAATTTGACCAGCTCGAGAGACCGAATTAATGATCTTTTAATATTGGCTACAATTATTCTTAGGATCACTATGTATGTGGATGTCAATAGCAGCTTGAGACCTAGCAGTATTACTACTTACATCAGGACATCAATATACAAGATAGCAATGTAAAAGATAGGAATCGGTTGATTTGAAGCTCTTGGTCACATATTCCAAAGTCATTTGAAGGGTATAAATTCTCTCTTTATCTCCGAATAAATCTCGAATATTTTCCCTTATTTCCTCTTGACTAATTTCTTTTCTTTTCACTTAAATGCCCTCCCCTCCTTATTTTATGGTGTTAAGTTTCTGTTGGATGCTGGATAGTCCTATGGTATGCACCTTCAAATAGTCTTTGGTGTTTGTTCAGAAGGTTTCCCAAAAAGAGTGCTTAGAGGTGATTCATTTTTTTTGCTTCTTTCCTACTCACTAACTAACGTCACATTAACTGATGTACGAACGAAATTTTGCCAGTATTCAATACTTTATTGTTTATGAAATATGCTCATGTACTACGGGACATATTGCGATAGCTTTGAGTAACTAATTGGTTTTTAGGATATTTCGTGTTAAAATTAGTCTGGATTACCTACTGGATTGTTTCTTTGTGTAGCTCATCAGATGGAGGTTTCAGTTCAACATTTACTCATGGTACTGGTGTCGGTGGTGCTGGAGCATCTCTCAATTTAGGTGGCGTTTTTCCTTGGGATACTCATGGTGACCCAAACGACTTTCTACTGTCTCGACACATTCGTTCGTTGATAAACGGCCCGGGGCACAGTGAATTTGAACCCGGTTCACATCCAAAAACTAATGACGTGTCTAGACTTTCGCATTCACCACCAGTCCAAGCACCAGTACACCAAAGACATACTGATGAAGGCACAGCTCCGACAACTTTTCAGGAGTCGGCTAGTCAAGCTCCACCAGCCACATTCTCAAAATCAAACATTTATTTACCCAAAGATAGTCCTAGTTTACAAACGTCAGTTCCACAGAAATTTGTTTTTACCGAATCTGTCTTCAATTACAATGACAAAGTTGTAAGTGAACATTTTAAAGTTGAAGCGGTAATATTTAATTGCAATTTTCATATTTTGAACCGATGAATTAACAGGGCACAAAATATTTCGTAGTGTCCCATAGTAAACATTTTGAACTGTCCGTTTTGACGGTTTCCATCAATTTTTATTTGTTCGGTTTCATTGGAGATTATGTTAAGTTCTGTAATGGGTAGTTATAAAAATGTAAGCTATGTGCCTGGTAAATTATCTACTTTAGTGGTAATGGATATAAACTGGGTGTTTTACTTCAATACATCTAGCAACTTTTAGAAATACTGTTCCTTTCAGACATGCAGAATAGCGATTGCTAAAGTAGTGAGACTGTCTACAAAATCTCATGCCGAAGAACTGTCAGTCGTCATTTCCTGCTGTTTTATTTTCAGCAATTATTTGTTCCTGACCGGCTTTAACGTCAAACACTAACTTGGTGATCAAGACCAGGAATGGACATAGATGAAACATACTGTTGTAATCTTTTTTAAAAGTAAATGCCTAAACCTTTGTCATGCAGTAGAAGGAACAAGTGTTTGCACCTGAATATGCGCAGCAAATGAGCAAAACCGTATCATCTTTTTGTGCCGGCCTAAAGGATGAGAAGACCAATCGTCTATTCGAACAGGAAGGGATTCAGAAGATGACGGTGATTCTCTGTACAATGTGACCGTGTGTCGTATTTGGTCTACTCCAAAGAGCGGTAAAGGTATTTAGCAAACCACAAACGAAATTAATTAAACGCCAGTAGATCTCTGTAGCCTCATCTAAAGTGCTTCGTGATAAGACTTCAGCTAGCTCCGATCAAGATGAGCGGAAGAAACATACGTGAACTGACTGAAAGACTTAGTAGTGAAAGCAAGCAACGATAAATGATGGAGGCAAAAAAAGTAAAGAAGGCATTGACACTTCATTGTCACTGATGTTTTAGGCTTGTTAAGTAGACTGGCTTCAAAAAGATTGGTTATTGAGTTTGGCCGAGAAAAGTTGCATTTACGATGACCTGCGGAACAGGTGGTTGAAACGATCAAAACTCACTGAAGGAGCCTTCGAGCGATCTCTGGTTGTGCTTCAGATTTTCAGCCTGGCATATATATATATATATATATATATATATATATATATATATATATATATATATATATATATATATGGGTTTTCCAACAGCGACTTCAAGCAACTTCTTTCAAATTGAAATGAAGGAAAGCGACGTGAGCCCAGAGTTTACCCCTAGAAGTTTTGAAGAATTATCGTAAGAATTTTTTGATTTGTACAAGTAGTGTACCAACCGGTGCACGGAAATCAGTGGCAGTTTCACCACACTGGGCTGGACTGTTGACCAATATAGCTTATGAAAAAAGAAAGTAATCCTCCTGTGACATTCATAAGAAGACTTGTAGGGTTCATGATCACTCGACGTCTAGCTGGAGTTAAAAGTCTACTCATTTTTCAGGTTTGACCGAGGGGATATTGATAGTATTTTTAACCTAAAAAAAGTCATGAAATGGGGGATATCTGCTGTTTGATGATAGTTATAAATAATGACTAGCAGTGAAATCCAGGACGCACATTTTGTCTTATTTGAGAATCACCAGGCGGGTGTATCTGCCTCCCAGTGAGTGATGTTCTCGCTGAAACTCGAACCTAAAACCTATCGCTTCAAACACCAGAGCGTTATGCATTAGGTTATTAAGTCATGACAGCCACTCTTTGTGTGACGGCTTTAGTGTTTGGTATTGTAGTTCGTAATATTCCATCGTTTGGGCCGAATTTATTGGTCGCTGTTTGTATATGGGCTCCGGTAATATCAGTTTGACTGTGCTGTTCTCACATGTCATATGTAAAACGACACTGTAGGATTGGTGTGTATCAACTTCCTGTTTAAAGACTGGAGTAACATGGTGCGATACCTGAACTGTTTCACGTGCTTATCAAGTTGCATCAACCTTAATGGGTGGAACAGACACAAAGGCATCTTTGGCACTTTGTAGCTTACACATCAGCATGCTATTTTACAGTTCGATTATGGGTCACCACAGTTCATCGTGGGAGATAACAATTGGTTACAGGTTTTCGACCATAGGTGTCTTCAAATGATTGTTTAGTTACGACGGCGTACATTATTGATTGAGAACGGTAAAGTTGTAAACCTGCACGGACTGAAGTGTTTGGGATATGTATTATACAAACTGAGTTACTCGCTACCCCGACGCAGATTATTAGTTGAAATCAGAATAGGTTTTAAGAAAACTAAGGGCAACCAAAACAATATATGGCACTTATCTTCGACTGTTAGTTCGAGTTGTTTTAAAAGTTTAGATTGCTTGATTTTGACCTCAAGATGCTAGAAACCAGTGGATACGAGATGTAAGTAACATGGTTAAAAACTGATGGTAGTGGCCAATGTGCATTTACTTCATCATTTTCAAAATTTTCAACACAATATGAATCTTTGCTCGTTTAATGTCTCTCCCTCAATATATTTGTTTCTCCTCAGTACGTCATTTTCACTATTGAGAACTATGTCAACATGAACTCATACACTCCTTTTCAAGGTTCCACGTCGATCTGTGTCATTAAGTGCGTAAACAGTTTTGTTTGTTCCTTGTGTTCACTAAATAATGTGAGCATAAATTTATCAAATTTTTTTTTCAGGTTTCCATGGTGCATGAAGTGTTATATGGATGCAGACAGAATATTGATCTGATGCAGGATATATTGCACCAGGCTCTGTTACTCCCTTTGGAATGTCATAAGGCTCTTTACTCTGTGACTACAGTTTATGGTTCCTGGTTGGAAGTATGTGGTATTAAAATTTTCTTTGCGTTTGTATTTTTCCTGTTGTAAATGACTGCTCGGTCTATTCACCAAAAAAGTACATTTGACACTTATCTCCTACCTCTTATGCTTTGTGAGGGTTTTGGAAGGCTACATTTCTGCAAACGTCTTTATTGAATTGTTACTGCATGTTTTACAGCAGATTCAAGTAATACACGACATAAGGGAGATCATGAATATTTAAAATATTCAAGTGTTCTGTATTTGTCTGACGTAGGGTGGTGATCTGATAGAAAATATCTAATGGTTAATGCTCAGGTTAGCATTCTTAGAAACCTGTTTTAGACCTTGAATAGACCAAAATAATAAAAATTTCTCATGTGCAGCTGTATAGTTGTTTGTAAGTCATAGGTTAGACTTGGGCATATTTCCACCGAACTTTGTTTCTCAATGTTCGTGATTTTAGGAAATTCTAGATCTCCCTTGTATTGTTTATTACTTGAATCTGTCGTAAAACATGCACTGACAATTCGGTAAGTTTAGAATTGATTTTCGGTTTTGTTATTGTGTGCACTCATTAAAAAAAAGGAATATTTACGTAGAAAAGTTTAAATTAAGGTTTGCCAAAAAACCTTGGGGCTCGTAACATGTATTTAGCTTGCCCTATGACCTTGATACCTAGAAGAATCACTAACTAACAATGATGAATAGTGTATCTGAAAAGTTGTTCATTCCTAATCTCGAAAAATAATCAGTTATTCTTTTCGCTTCACGAATCGTAGACACTTTCATTTTCGGATAATAAGTTTTCAAGTTCAAAGAAATATCATGGTTTTTGATGTAATTTTAAAAGTGAAAGCTAATCTACAGTGTTTATGAGCTTGCACATACTTATTTTTGAAGAAATTTGTCATATACCTCTGCTACCTGGTAGACATCGTCTTCCGATATCACCGTAACTAAAGTCGTTTGTATTGACTGCGCTCATCATTATCATCATCATCATCAAAATCAACATAGGACCAGGCAATGCTGAGTAATGCTCCAAGTTGCCACACCTTATATCAGCACATCAAGTAACACGGCTATGAAATAAAAGATGAAGAAAGAGAAAAATCGGTCAAAAGAAGTAAAAAGTAGTGAACGAGAGGAAGGAGGAATGGGGAAATGATGACATTAAGTATCGAGGTTAAGATGAAGATGTATGTGTACATCTGCACCACTGACATTAGTTCTGAGCCATATCTCTTGGAGTCTCCAACCACTGGTTTCTGTTGTCCCGCTGACCTCAACCGGCTAGTCTGCATCGCCCCGCATGGCTCAAGCCAACAGTCAAAGACTTCATACATTGGTGCTATGTTTTAGCCTGGCCACCTTGGGCCTTTTTCCAGCTTAAACCTACTTCAGTCAACACTTTGCAACAAGGTGGACGTTGGGTAGGCATATATAACACATGTCCCAGCCATCTCAGTCGATGAAGGTTTACAACGGCATCACCTGTCTTACCTCTTCACAAAGCTCTGCATCTGACTTCTGCGTTATTCACATGGTTACACCACGAAACACGGCCTATGCTACAAAGGCAGCAGTGGTCAAACACCTGAAGCCTTCCTATGTCTTCTACTTTTAATGTCCATGTTTCACATCCATACAGTACAGTAGAGCGGACTGCAGCACAGTACACTTGACCCTTAATAGACAATTGGATATCGAGGCGGCGCCACAAGTGGCGTAAGTTGGCAAAAGCCAGCCGAGCCTTTTGTATTCGTACAGAGATTTCATCGGCCACCGAACCACCAGAGCTGATCCCAATTCCCAGGTAAGTGAAGTGGTCAACATACTCAACTACTGCATTCTATTGTTAGCCGAGGCACCGTTGAAGACCAGTCCTGGAGCAATAATTTGTATTGAGAAATGCATCCCAAACATTCTCAAATTGCCACTCAAAGTGTCCAGAAGACTGCATCTTGTCAGCGTCTTCACATAACAGGACTATGTCATCTACGTGTTCTAGGTCTAACAAAAATTCTCCCACGACTAGGTCAACCTCTGTTAAGTCAGATGACGAGCGGAGAAACCATAAGGATATCTATGATAAAAATGAATAAGAATGGAGAGAGTGGGCACCCTTAACAGACATCACTCGACGAGTACAGCTCCCCGGACATCTCACCGTGGGTTGTAACATGCCTACAAGTGTTCGAGTAAAAAGCCTTCAATGAGGTGATGTACTTACTCGGTACTCCTTTCAGAGAGAGACATTGCCATAAGACTTCTCGATCTATGGAGACAAATGTCGCTCTCAGGTCGAGAAATATAGTTATTGTCGGGCGTCGATGAGCGTACCTGTGTTTCAGAAGTTGGCACAGTGTGAATACTTGGTCGATAGACCCACGACCATGTTTGAAGCCTGCCTGGCTTTTCAAGCCTACTGTTCCCAAGCCCCACTCAAGCGTCTAATGATTATAGAACCTGGAATTTTAGATTCTATTTTCTTCAGGTTGGAGCGCAGCTTCAGGAGACCAGGAATGCTGTTCTGTGGACTCAGATCGTTGTCGAAAACTACAGAAATAGAAAAGATTGAAGATGCTGTAGGATTATTAACTGGGAGATATGAAAGATCAAAAGGTAAGGATGAAGGAGGTGGATAGTGTTCTGAGGGAACTTGAGTACTGACAGAGTTGTGAGAGTGGCTGTCACTTCCTAGTCACTCACACATTGGGATGCACATTCATCTTAAGGTACCTGAAAAAGAAGACTTATTGTATGACCACAGAGACAAGGAATATCTTCTTAAAACCTGTTACACATCTTTTTGTGGGTTGTTTTGAGGTCTGGTTTTTTTTATGCCGGATAGACAAACCCATACCTCTGGCACCGGGAGACCTTAGGGGATGCTAGAGTGTGTTGTTTTGGGGGCTGACGTTTTCTAAGCCGTTCTTCTGTTGAGAAAGCAGCATTAGCGTAGCACTGCTTGTCATCCAAGGGAACCACCTCACTGCTGTCACACCCCATCCAGCTAGCAACAGTACCACTTCGCTCTCAGGCCTCCATCATAGCGGAGTAATTCACACTACAACGGTCTCACCACTATACAAAAGACCTTTTTTCTGTGGTAGGACCTCGAGAGAACTAACGTTCCATCAGCATGGCTCGTTGGGTCATTGTGAAATACAAGCCCGACCATGACGTCAAGGTAGCAGCTGTTAGTCGGGACTGACTACAATGAGATTTTTCTGTGAATGTTTTAGGGCATAAAACTCGTAAAAGCACGGCCTGTCATTTTAGCCAACAGGTTTTATTTGTTTTACTTAGAAATTACTCACCTCATAACGATTCGCTTATGATATTATTTTGTTTGGTGACTTTTAGAACAAACACAATCGCCCGATTTTCATGCAACCTTTAGATGCCCCACTAAACAAACTGAATGAGGTTGGTTCATAATCTCTTGGTTAATTTTTTTATTCTTGTTTTATGTTACGCTTTCTACCATTCAGGTGTTCACTTATCTACCTACGGAAATTGATTTTAGTTTCTGTCTTAAAGAAGCTTGCTTTCATCACGTACTTTTTCTGGACACAAGCTTGGCATAAATGTGGAGATCAGGAAATGCTCTACACAATTAGTGTAGCTGAACGCGGTCCCGGTACTAGGCTATGGGCCACACTAATTATATGAAAGCTTATAATACTACTGCGTTTCCTTGAGGAAAATAGGTAGAGCAGGTTGGGAATCCGGAACCTATGACGTAAAAGTTTAATCCTTAATGAGTCACATCTTTTCATTTTTATTTAATCGGAACTCAAAATGACGTTTGTAAATTCGAACAAGATGAATACTTGCATTTTTTTTGTTGTCCTAGGTCATATGAAGATGTAAGCCTATGCGACACGTCCTTGTGAAGTAGATGCTTTTCAACTGTCGTTTCATATTGAAGACGAGTTCAGATGCAATAGAGTTGGGCATTTTGATTTCTGTGGATGTGATTTGTTGTTTTCCTGACACTAAATCAGGCGTCCACATTTACTGGCTAGCATCATGATAAGCCCTCATCTTAGGTCAATACATAAACGTATATGAAGTTGGTGGGTGACAACTTTTATGTGGTTTAAATTTGAATAAAATTGCGATCGAATTCACTCGATCTGAAGGCAATAAACCTATATTTATCTGTTAACTTACTAGAAGGATAAAAGGTATTCCATAAAAAATGTTAGTGACCGTTGTTAAGTCTCAGGTCATCCAGCACCATATTTTAGAGATGCAAAACGACTTCACGTGGATTGAAATGCAGAATGCTCATCCTTTAATAGGTAGTCACATATCTCACCAGTCGGCGCTAAGTGTGACTCAACTTGGCAAACATGGAAGAGGCCTTCCGTATTCGAGCTGAGGTCACCTCAACAACCAACCCATATGCATAGTCAACGCATTCCACCACTTCACTCCCTATCCTAAAGCTAGAAAAAACTGTAGACCAGTCCAGAAGCAGCATCTTACATTTGATAGATGCGAAACGCACACCAGACATACATTTCTGCTCAACGCGTTCACAAGACCCTGCATTTTGTCAGCGTTTTCATCCAACACGACAATCTCATCTGCACACTCAATGTCTTCAGGGAGTAAGCCAAACCCCATAAAGTCAGAGGGGGCTGTGTCGATTTGTTCGTCTGCAGCAAAGCTAAACAGGAATCCTGATAGTCAACATTCCTGGTGGGTACCACTGCTTCACACCAATTCAGATAACAAATCCCGAGAAGCCCTTGCAGGGCTAAATGAACTTGAGTAGAGAAGCTTAATTGACACTGCGTAACTGCTCTAGACTCCTTTCACAGTCAGATACTGACAGAACGCCTCTCGTTTGATGCAGTCGGATTCCATTTTCATACCAAGAAATATGACAGTTGTCGGTGGCCGGTATACAAGCATATGTCCTAAAATTTGTCGAAGTGTGAATATTTTATCGATGCAGCTTCTTTCAAGTTTGAAACCTGTCTGCCTTTCCCGAGTTCCTTTTTCTGCAAGTGCAGTTAGGCACTGGATAACTATGGGTCTTAAGATCTTCAACACGATTTCAATGAAACTGATTCTCTACCTCAATCTGGAGAATTCGTGGCAAACTGACATCCTGTCGCTTTTCATCATTTCCATTTCGAAACGGTTCTCAACTTTGACAAAAGCTGAAGGATTGAAATCTATGTCTCTTTCAGGTTTGGGTTAAACGTTAGGCAACTGAAGCTTAGCTGTAGGCCAATTGGACCGTTTGCCAAAGTGTTCTTTGTCTCTCTCCGACCGCCCTATCGTGCGAAGTTATGACGAAAAATTATTTTTTCGGCGGTGGGCTTAGTGATCATCCATTGTCCTAATGCCAGTTTCCTTGGTAATCCTAAATAATTATCGACTACCACCTGATGGTGATGCCTCCTAAAACCTCTCTCTCATTTCCTCTCTCCACTCATGTTCGTTACGAAGACTTATCCAATTTATGTTGGAGCTAGTTTCGCTCTTCATTGTAATCAGAACCAATCTCGCTTCAGTCATTGTGGATGAGGCTGTAGAAATTCACTTGTTTTTGCTGACCTTATGATGGCGCGGATAAATTTATAGCCTATTCATCCGGACAGCTGGATTATCTGTCTTTATTCCATTTTCCAACTACAGGTGTCTCAGTAGCGTTGCTCGCCTGTAATGGATTTATCGTATGAGGAATATCGAGGTTAGACGGAAGGTACTAAGCTAAAAAGGCAAACCAGTTGATGGAGTTGTAAAAGCGTTCACTTAATGAAGTGGCTTGGCCATGTATTGCGCATGCCGAACCACCACCTACCTCGACGTTTAATGGTAGTCGAAGTTAGGTTGTAAGAAGGCTCAGGGTGACTAGACCAAGATGTTGTCCCAATCGATAAAGTCTCCAACCTTTGGTCTGAGCAATGTAGGGAGGTGTAGACTGCCTCAAGACGATAGGAACCGATGGTTGGAGAGCGATGGCGACGTGGATGAAAATCGGTCACTATAGTGCATACGTATTCCCTTCTTGCAATCTTCGTGACTTTAAACATATTCACTAAGCGTCATTCATCTCTTTCTCCTCCCATACACTTTCGTCTACTTTGATATAACGCTTTTTCTCCCCACTTGTTTTTTACATGTTGCTATGTGGAAACGTGAACCGATGCACTTCCGTGCAAGATTCTTCATCTTGTTGATGTGTTTGGGCTGATTTCCAGGTAGATACGAAACGTCGCTCCATTATTGTGGTTAATGGTATGTGTATATTGAACACACGCACATAGTAAACCTCTCACTTTCATAGAAAAAGCAAATTTCTATTGATAAACTTTGTTTTACCGTGAATTCTGCTCTCCATCAGGTACAAAAATTAAATGATGATTTATCAACAGTAGACGAAAGTCGAATATCAAGGATAGACAATTATTACAGTGACCTCAAAGACACTGAACTTCCAATAGTTAAGCAGGCTATTGAAGATAATTGTGTACCCACCAATCTCTCTGTTAATAAAATCAAACCTGAAGAGGATGTCCATGACTCAGAAGAATTAAAAGGCTGCTTACAGAATACAATTCAGGTTAGTTAAATGTCAATAGAATTGCTGTTACATGTCACTAACCTTAAAATATAACTTACTTATTCCATATATGTTTCTTACAGTGTGTAACGAGTCCACGTGCAGGTTTGAATGATCAATAGCTGTTATTGATTCTGTATGTTTGCTTAGCTCAGTACATTCAGTATCTGATTGAGATTATAACTCATTTTTGCGACCTGTATTAAGTATGGAAATTTTGTACACAAGATTAAAATCATTTCTAATTGTAGTCAAAATTAGTTTGTAAATGGTTGCTTGGAGAACATCTTTGTGGTATTTTTACTATTCATGTATTTATTATTCTCTTAAATTACAGTATTTTGATCTCCCTGGTGGTTATTGATCACTTTGGAAAATAAAACAGTTCATTTCTTCAGTAAAGACTACATTTTTTTTCGTTTGATATCAGTTTATTTACTTGAGATTGCAGATAAAAGCTGAGATCTCTCATAAGAATTTTAAAATTGTGTATATGGAGCAGTTGAACGACTTTCTCTTGAACCTCGTATTGCCCCCATCAGCAAACTTTGTGCGTAACGCATCTTAGCGATTCGAACTGTCGACATTAAGCAAAGGATTCAGAAACAGTATTGGATTAATCTCGCGATTCTCCCCCTTCCCTTCATAGAATCAATCTTTCGGTTACTGGTTCATCTATGCAAGAACATATTGTGAAATTAGTTTTTGTCGAGATGTTGATGAATCGATTGATCAGAATGTTACGTTGTCACAAGTTATAGCTCATCATGATGCTACAGTTATCGTCTTGGGTTATAGCTGTTTCTCGAGTCCCGAGTAAAAGATTGACTACTTACTATCATATCGTTTACGTGATGAGGTAAGGAAAATGTGTTTTTGCAACTTAGGGTGGAGGGTCTTTCGTCTACTGCACCTCCTCTTAAAAATACTCTCACATAGCCATACGTTTGATGCTTCTGGTAACTAACCCTATTCTCTACCTTATCTGGTGGGGGTGTTTTTACAAAAGTGATAAGGAGAATGTAAATGTCTGGCACTTACCACTGAATCGATGAACACAGAAAGTGCACCTAGTAAAGTTGGTAAATCCTAATCCCAAGCAAGTAGTCCAATACCTTCTAGAACCTACTCTGACCACCTGCAACCATTGGCAATCAGCTCCTGAAGTTGCTCCTTTGCTTTGCGAACAGGAATTCAAGCCAGAAACCGAGTGAGTGATCCCTCCAGACAACCTCATACAACAGTCTAGAAGTATTTCAGCCCCAAAATAAATCATGAAAAAACTACAGCGAATATTATTTGGTACAAACCTCCCAAAATAACAATAACAGGCATCACTTATCTATTAGTGAATAGTTAATGGAAGGCAGGCAAGAGCCATTCGATCACCTATGAGTTCTTACCTATGTTCAAAACTTTCTATCCATTATGACACAACCATTTAAGCTAATGTATTTATACGTCTCAAATGTTCCCAATATTTTGTCGTCATAAATTAATTAATATGCCGTTTGCACAATCTTCATGTTTCAACAAGGCTAATTTTTTGGAAGGTTAGTCGCTTCTATTTCTAATAATTATGTACTTGTACGTGACAGTTCACCCCACTTAAGAACGAATTTCTTTGTACGCTAGTAAATAACTGCAATACAGTAGTAATGCCGATTTCGAATAAGCATAGTTTAATTAAAAAAAGTTAAGTTTCTATAGACTGTGGTTCAAGACTGAATAAACCCATTTCTAAGTGTTCCCATTGTTTTCACCACAGTTGTTATTGGTTTCTGAAGGTGGCGGAAGCTTCAGAAATTTGCCTATTTATCTTGTGAAACAAAATTCTTTTGCATTCAGTACGTGGATGACTTAGTACGACTGTTATCTACTTTTGCTATTTACAACGTTTAGCACAAGAAAAGATTAAATGAAGTAGAAACTGTTCTTTGTTTTGTGCTTGTTTCCAAAAACTGACTGTTCAACTTTGAGCTTAACTCAACATATACGCTTCTAGATATTAGAGGTGCGACTGTGATTTCTTGCACCATTTGGTTTCTGTCAACGTTAAACAATGTTTCATATTCAGACGGGCTTTTGACTAAAACTCATCAATTCAAAATATCCTTACATTTATATCGTTCACCATTCACTTAGTTCGTATTGACATTAGCTTATATGAAATGTAATTTATATTCTCATCTCTTTTTTGTTATCAAACTACTAATAGATAATGCTAGAAAATATGGCCAATGTTTTTTACGCCACAAGTTTGGATTCTAGCTTAATGCCATCTCATAATGTGGATAAAGCAAGTACAAGCGCGGTTGACTATACAAAATACCAGATTGAACTTTGCCGTTTGGTGTTACAAATTTTTCAGTTTGCAAGTAATAGCAATGAATTAACTTCAGAAACATGGTAAGCTTGCTTGAAAGTAATATTTGATACTCTCCCTGAAATCTAATGCTTTGCCATTTGGGACAATTATCTAAACATACCTACTAATAAATCACTTGTTGACGTTGTGTATTTAATTCTATCGAATTGTTTCAGATATGTGTCTTCAAAACTCCTAGTTTTACAATTTGAGAGTTTGTGGGAATTGGTTGATTTCTAAACAGTATTCATCACGAACCGACATCAACTATACGAAACTTTGTCTAATTACTATACGCCTAAACGTGGTATGTTAGCTAAAGCAGGAGTAGGATGGAAAATGTCTCATAGTGGTTAGACGAGACATTGTCAATCCATAAATTCATTGGTTATTTATTGACTTTCATCAGTTGTATGCAAGGCACCTACTCTTCTTAAACCAGGTTTTACCTGACGTTTATGCGGAGTCCACAGTAAAAGCAATCAGTAAGTTTAGAAATGCTTAGAATCCTAATTTGTTAACCATTGAAAAATTCTGGGTAAGTTATCCTACACTATGACATAATATTCCTCGCATACAATTCAGACTAGAGAGCTGATTTGGTAATATTGAAAGTGGTTACAAGTATTGTATCTTGCAATGTGTATTCCGTTTTCTTTGTCGCAACGTATCATACAAATAAGTGTATACCCAACTTTTAGATAAAGCAGCTAACTTTAAATGGGACGTATATTGACTTTCAGTTACTTGGAATTTGTGAACGCCTAGTAAGGGTAGTTAAAAGAGCCTTGTGAACTATTACACTTGCAATCGGGAAACTTTATTTTGCGAGTTCTATGATAGGATTACCACCCCTAGTATACAAGCTAAAACCTACATATACAACAGCATAGTTGTGTAATTAAAATTTGTACATAGGGTGGGTGTTGGTCTACCTATTTTAGTTCACTGACAGCTGTATTTCATGGAAATATTGAAGCATCATACTGTTACCGTCGTATGTGTGTATTCTTTCGCTTTACATATTTCACCTTCACAGTTTGCACTATTTTCATTTCAATGTGTACAGATTCTCTTTCATCTTTTTATATCTGTAGGTCCAGACTTTTGTCTATCCTAATGGACGTCATGCGGAAAACAATGATTAACACTTCTCCAACAAATGTACAAAACTATAGATGGTTGTTGAACAATAAACTTACTCAAAATCTTTTTCAGGTAATATAAGAGTGAGACTTGAGCACTGTGGATAGAACGTAATTCGATTTCAGTTGATTTATTAGACTTATCACACAGTGGAACAGTATTGTTTACTGGATTACGTTTGGGACATAATTTCCTGTCCATAATCATATCAAGATCTTGATGCATCAAGTTGCATTTCCTTGTAAAAGGAAATGGGCTGTTCATAATATTTTACAAATTGTTTAACCTTCTGACCAATACATTTTCTGTTCGTGTCATTTAACAATTGGTTTCATTACCAATTAATGTATCTAAAGTGAATAAGAGTTATGAAGCGACAAAGTAAACCAGCGTAGCGGTATATTCGTTTAACAGAACCAGTGGCAAATACTGTTAGTGATTCTTGGTGTGCGTAAAATAGGATTAGTTTATCGCAGCGTTCTTCATAATGAATCATGTAACCGCTTATAATGCATATTTGTTTTTCGGCTAAGCATTTTATTTATAACAGTTTTCCGCCCACATTCGTTTATCAAGATTTAAGAAATTTTAAGACAATGCTATTTCTCACGTAAGTGTTTCCTTTGGGGGATGGGTTGCTGAGTTCACAGTGTTCATGACATCCGATTTCATGACTGCACGTCACAAATGGCATTTGCTAATAAGAATTGGGTTACTCTGTATTTGATTTCATTGGTGCAACTAATGTGGAACTCATTGCTTTCAAAAGACCCAGTCTATATTCACAAAATACGCAGAATCTTAATCTGGGAGGAGATTAATGTTTATTGCCTTCTGCTTCTTTAAGGATTCTTTGAAATAGTCTCATGATGAATTAGACTACCACACTATGCACCGGTTGTCCCAGCAGTTGATTATAGCGAAGTTGGCATTGACCACTTCACTCGATTGGGAAATCAGACTAACGCTGGTGGGTCGGTGATCGACGAAATTCCTGCATGGATACAAAAGGCTAGATTAGCTATGACCAACTTACGCCATCTGCCTATTAAAAACCGAATGTACTGTGATGCAGTCCGCTCTTTTCTACTGGTATAGCTGTGAAATATTAAAAGTGAGGGTAGAGGAAATGAGGCGGCTTCAGGAGTTCGACCACTATCACCTTCGTGGCATTGACTAAATTACTTGCTCCCAGTGCCACTAGTAAAATGAAAACCAGGCGTAGAGGAGGTAAGGTAGTCGGTGAGGTTCTGAGCCTTCATTGGCTATTTCTCAGGATACGCCTCGTACACTTTTGACTGATGTAGCTTCAGGATGAAGAAAGGTCAGAAGCGACCAGATGAAAACATGACACTATTCCTTGAAGTCTTTGACTGCTGGTCGGAGCCGTAAAGGGGTCCGCGTGACATCCGAAATATTTTCAACCGTAAATAAATGAATCCGCAGATAATTTTTCTTTTGTTAGACCTGTTGATGAAGCAATTCTGTGAACTGCTTTTTACCGCATGTGACTTATCCTCATGACTTATCCTTTGTAAAAATACATTCGTTTTTGGATTCATCAGTTATCCAAACATTATACCACCTTTGTTCACGTCTGCCTTGGTTTTGAGAATAGGTACAGTAAACACTATTACTCGCAATATAATTATTTTTTGTATTCAAGCTGTAATATTGTCATGCAAACGTAAAACCGTTACTGTTTATTTTCTCTACAGACATTAAACGGTGCTTTATTGCGTGCATCCCTCTTTTCTCCAATATCTTCTGAGCCATGGGATCAGTGTTTAAATATTTATTCCAAGTTAACTCATTGGCCGTCGTTAATAATTGAGTGGAAAGTATGTCATAATATCAATCACATTTATTTGTTTGATGCCCATCATACCAGTTAGTTTTCCGTATAATTTACATTATGTTTCGCTATCGTTAAGTTTCCGGATTTATATGCAATGTAATTATAGCCGTACTTAAAGTTGTGGATATTTTTATGTTCTTATCTATCTGTAATTTCTACTGGCTTTGCTGCAACTTATGACAACAGTTTGGTCTCTTAAATTCGCGCTCCGAATTCATCAAATTGTTCAACAGGTTTTGCTAGTCATATATATATATATATATATATATATATATATATATATATATATATATGCATGCACTATATTCACGAGTTACATACACGGTCTAAGTATGTTTTATTCACTTAATATTATGTGGTCAGTATGTTAAATCTATGAAATTCATCTGGAGTGTCCCCTGCCAGCTCTCACGATTTTGTGTGTGTCGGTATAAAATGAATTCTTTCCGGGCAGAAAATTCATTTTCTGACTGCATCCCAGTTGAAAGTTATTCATGTGTTGTTGAACTAAGTGGTTCGTTAGTTTAGACAGTTGACTTTCAACGAGTGTGTCACGGATTCGACCCCGTTGCGCCTAACACCGAGATTTGGACAGACAGATAGTGTTGTTAACCCTCACAAGAGGTATCACTGATTACCTACTGCACAAACTTGCATAAGGTTGTTGAATGCATCTTGACTGAATGGAACAACTGTAAAAAATAACGACTGGTGCCGTTGTTTCTACTAACGGAAGTTCATTGCATGTTTACCCATTAATTATAGTTCATATGAAGTGAAAAGTGAATTTTACTGAAAGTAATCTTACATCCTACAAAGTGCCAAGTGTTCAGATACAGTTTCTGTGGTGGACCGACTTCAGTGCATACGAGTAAGGTTGATTTAAACGGTAATCCCCTAAGACATATGGATAACGGTGATCGCTTGTTACGACTGCACCCAGTCAATCTACCTATTACTTGCCATCGCGAATTTTGTTCGACTTTCAGTGAACGCTTCCGCATGTGTTTACGTTCACTATTTCAGCTAGTGAAGTAAGTCGAAAGAACGAAATAGAACAACACATGTGTGTTCATTGATTCACTTCACTATATTTCGTAACATGATAAAAGAGATCAGAAAATAAACATATGTCAAGAAAATCAGAGTAGACATGTGTGAAGAGTAAAAAATTAGTAAAGTTAAGGTTTAGAGGGGGAACTGTGTGTCATTTTTATCTATTTTGACCTATTTGCCGTAAAGTTTTCAACTGTTCATTCTTTGCAATCCAGAGACCAAGCCCAAAGGATATATATTTACCTGTCTACATAATTAGGAAAGGTCCTTGAAATTCAGTCTTAGGAAGTGTTTTCATGTATTTTGTTTTAAATAAATTTTTGTAGTGCATTAGTAACAATTTTCCACTATGCCTTTTTATTTAGAAAGTTATGCGGATGTTGACATCTACAATGGGTAAATTAGTTTACGGTGTAGATTTGTCTGATTTACCACAGGAGAAAAAAGGATCGCGAATCAAACGTTTAGCAGGTTTGTGTAACCTTTTCTGAATGTTTACATCCATCTGGACTGAAGTTAATTTTTATGTGGTTTTGATGTAATGGTTGTTTCCATCTCTTTTGTGATGCTATATCTCTTTGTGCATATAGATTTTACTAAGTTACTTCCACCCACTCTGTTCACCTAGCAGCTACCGAAAAGTGACTTGAGTAGGTTGTAATTAGTTCTGTTGATTGACACAAAAAACACTAAACTCGTTAACGGAATACGAATAGTAACACACACACCTAACTACACCACAAGAGACATAAAATTTCACACTGAATGATTAGTAATCATATTTTTAAAAGACTGACTAAACGAAGAAGATTGGACAAGGAGATTAGATACACATCTTTGGATTCATTTATATATCTTCGATATTTTAATTTTGGTTATTTCCCAGAAGAAGCTCGTACCAAACTTCTATGCGAAACATTGGAATTATTTCATTTCAAACACACTGTGACTTACGCAAATGCAAACTAGATATAATGTCTTTGACACGAATTGATCAAACTAAATCTTCTTCAATGGGCTACTTATACCAATCGCAGGGTTTATCAGGCTTATTTTGGGCTAAATTTATGATTTAACGTTGTGAATGTTTAGGGTAAAAAAGGTTCGATTTTTAATTAAAATTTTTTAATGATCAGGTTGGCCAACGTTTTTAAATCACGTGAAAATCACATGTCACCAACCTGTTTGGATTTAGTTTCTATTTTCTTAGTACTCTTCAGATCATTTTTTTAAGTTGTATATGGGTAATATATACAAGTTTAGTTTAACCGAAAACCACTCAGGTTTGTTTAAGGTTAAAGGGCCTAAGAGTACTGCTACTGAACACCGCTGACCAGAATACCGCAGTCAGAAAAAGCACTAAACTGAATCCAGCCTTTTATTACCTCAAATTCAACCAAATTGACTCAAAGTTCACAATATCAACGGTATAATTACACGAGCGTTCATTGTAGTCAGTATTGTTAAGCTAATATAGATTTAAGCAACGTTTATTGTTTTGATCTGAGGTCCTGAATGTGCAGTGAAGCAGAGAATACCACGGCGGAATTATAGCAGGTCGATATAAAGAAATTTAATGAAACCAACCCAATGCGATACTTCCAATATTTCAACAAGGTTGACACTGGGAAGCAAAAAGAATTTCTACTCTTTTAAAATCAGTATCTCTGACTTTTAGGTATCCTGGGTCCCTTTGGGCGGGGTTACAACCATAAGCAAACGAGAAACGTAGACACACCACAGGCCTACCCAATCACATTGAAGCATCAGCTGAGTACTAGCTTCGCATTACGACATCTAGAAGGACCTGAAATACTGTACAATTGATTTCTTTGTGCATGATTTTCGTTGTGCTCAAACCACTGCTCAACGTTATCTGATACTCTCACAGTTACTAATTCTTTTATACGTTTGGCCACTCTGTGTACCTTCTGTGGGGCACAAAGTTTGGGGGTTGAGGAGTCTCCCAGTGATAATAGATTTGACGTTATGTCATCGCTAAGTGTTTGTTTCATCGCACCCAGTTAGCTTTCTTCGTCCTCACACGAGTCTTAACCATCTTTACTATCCTTGCCATTCGGTGTAGTCGAACTGTACGGAACTGCGATTAACATTTCACTTTACACAACCTTTACAGTTCCCGACAGCAGTTTACAACCCACCTTATACGATAGCATCCACTTTCCGTGTGGTAACGTTCCTTGTAAGCTGGTTTCACAACTTTAATACAAACCTGAAGCTCCTTAGTCGGTATATAACTCTTTGCTAGTTCGAAACCCGAGTAGTAGAGCATCAAGTAAGGTAACTTGTTGAGGTCAGAAGCAAACACCTTTTAAAACGTAGGTTTATTTCATATTCCATTGTAAAATATGCCATGAGGTTGGCTAGTTTCATGAACCATGCCATAGTGAACCAACTACTGAAGAATTATGGGACTAATAACTGTGCACCTGCAGTCACTCATAGGTTAATGCTTCTCGTAGGTAGGGAAACTATCTACGTCTAGCATCTGGTTTATCTCTAAACGCTTTCGAGCAAGCATAATTTTCAAACATCTAAGCAACAATACTTTCCTTGTTCTTACCCCAATGAATCATGCCAGGTTATCATTACTTACCTGCACTAATCTTAAAAGCCAAGCATGAATAATGAACTTTCCACACACTTACACCACATCTCCAACTTAGAAGTTTTGGTAGGGCTTTTTCCATTTATCTCTCTTCCGGGAGAACTGGAACAAACTCCCTCAACCATCCTATCCAAAATTTGTCTCAAGTATTTTTCCTTTCTTCATCTTTTAGCGGGATGACTAACCTTCGATTCATTTTCTTGAAGCACTACATTCCTTCTTAGGAGCTACGAGTTGTTATGAGTTAGGTCATTGAAATCTTTCGTATAATCTTCAATAGGTTTGGAGTCATCTTTCATTCAGAACTATCTCTTTCTACGAAAAATCCCTCCAACTTTTCATCGTTTGTACTCTCTCCTTTAATCACCGATCTCGTTACTCCTTTGACAGTTCCAATCAACTTTCCCCATTGCCCTCAATGACTGGCTTGTGGTGGCTTGGATCTCCGCTCTATCTCTAATGCTTCTTCATAAATTCTTTTCTGAGTATCCTAAAGAGATCTTTTCATTTCGGCATGGCAGCCAATGAGGTTACTTCCTGTATCATTAGCCATTACCTCCGGTATTCCTGTGTGATTAATAATGTTAATCTGTTTTCATAGCATATAATCTACCTTGATTTGCTACTATTTCTGTCTCTAGGGTAGATCCTAAAATCTGTGCAAATCTACTCGTAACCTGATTTACAGTCTTTTCTTTCCCGTCTTTTTCTACTCGATCGTTAAATTCAGTGCACTCTCCTCTCAATCAGGATGGTAGTTGTTTTGCTACGGTATCAAGAGCTTTAGAAGAACTAGTTACAATAATTCAGGACCATGACTGTATTTTTTTTAAGTCAATAAATTGTTCGAGAATTCCGTAAGGTTTTTACAAATACCCTCAACTTGTCGACTGTTACTTCGAATAGCTTCAAAAAGCACCACGACACCATGAAAGGTTTCTCACACCTCTGTTTCAATATACGTCCAGCTTCTTTTTAACTTTCACTTGCATTCAGGAATTTACAGCATTCTATCGCTCTAGAAGCAGGACAAGTACACTGTCGCAATGATTACATTAGCTTAGTTTCATTCATCCGTCCTTCCCCTCACAAAATTTAGTTAATCTGCCGGATTTCCATGAAACCTTCGAATCTCACGTTTAGACATATTGAGAAGTGATTCTTCCTGAACTAGGTTGGACAACGAATGATCATAACCAAAGTTTTCAAACACGACCTGTGATATTGTGAACGACACCATTCACCTTAGCAACCGAAATCGAACCACTCTTTCGTTGAATTAGACACCACTGATGGCGTTTGCCAAGTAGGACTATCCAAATATTTGTATCACTCCAAAGTCAGAGTTGAAACCGAGTAAGTTGCATGTAACCAAATCGAAAAATTTCCAAATTGAGCAAGATCAGAAACTACCAGCATGAAATATCGTGGTGGAATTAAAGCAGGTCGATAAAGGGAAATTTAATGCTACCAAACAAATGCTATTGTTCCATTGTCTAAGGAATTTTGATGGATGGGAAGTTGACACCATCATTTAATTTGGTTAATTGGTAATTTTATAACTTCTTACACATTCAGATAACATTCATTACTTATATTTCCCGCAGTTGTCGCTTCTATGCTACAGAAAGCGATGGTGAGAAATCAGTGGGTGAGCGTGTGTGAATAGCCAGTGATTAATTTCTTATGGATATCTATTAGTTTTTACCGCATAAAAATTCACTATTAGATGCACTGGAGGCTAAATGAAAGCCCCAGTTTACCGTTTGTTTTTTTATTCATAAACAAACTGATAATTATTAATCTTAACGTGGGATGCAAAAAATTAATAGTATAGTTGTAACCAAACATGGTTTTCATGTGTTTTAAATAGCTGTACAAATTAAAAGTGCTAAATTTATTACCTTGAATAAGCAATATTTATGAACTCTTTAAGAAATCTATTATTTTTCTTTGTAGCTTCTAATTCAGCGAACAGAGCCCGTCCAAAATCATTGACTGAAGCAGTACTGAATTATGCTGGTTCAACAGCTGTATTATCGCCTCCTGTGCCTTATCCTAGTGCACTGTCTGTGTTAAGTGTGCATGAGAATTCTTTTGACCATAATTTAGCACCAAATTGTGGTGTTACAGAACCAGATGATGATATTCAATTGAGAAGAAATTCACAAGACAATTCTCAAAAATATATTACGTATCATGAAGTTAAGCCAGTAGCATGTAGTCCCTATATTGAAAAATGGACATTTGAAACTGTAAGCAGTGAAAACTCAGAAGGCACTAAAGTCATTGATGCGCACTCACACGATCCACTTGGAGAGGATGAATCTATTTCCCTAGATTTAAATGATGATCTAGACGATGATCCTACCACAAGAATGAGTGACAACCACATGCACGTATCACATGGCTCACAACCTCATTCTCATGTTATGTTGACCAGTTGTGGGTCTATCCTTTCTAATACAACAGCTAAGGACAAAACTTTAGTATCAACAAGCAAGAGCAAGCCATCTGTGAGACGTGCAACAAGTGAAATCACATTAACGGTTAAGGTAAACAATATTGTTGCCTTTTATTATGATTATTTTATGTTTTTCTCTGAAAAGTCCACCTGCTAAAATTTAGTCACCTTTCCCGTACTTATTTTCTTGTTTTTTACTTTACTGTCGTCAGTTTTACGTTTTGTTTTTTACTGGTCCCTCTAAATCGAATACATAAAAGGGGTTCCTACTATCTGTTATCAAACAAGTTATAGGTCTATGAAGTGTGCTAAGTTTGGTAAGAGTTGTATGAAACCGCTGGAATAGGGTGTAATTTGGTATTTAGATTGCCTTCTAGCTTTACAGTGAGACAGCAATATTTACTGGATGATTTTAGAGTACTGTCAATGGTCACACACAGGCAACCACACAACTATCTAGCATGATTAATATAGTTATACTGCTTCTCTTTCTATTATTTTTTCCATGTATCTGGAATTTCCATTGAGTCATTCTTGATAATCTACCCTAACCCTAACTCGGTACAGGTTTTTGTACTAAGCTGTGATGAAACACTTGATTTAACCTGTGCTTATGATACTTCGTGGCCATCTAGGTGATGGGCAGCATTTTCAATCCACGACCTATTTGTCTCACGTCTATGAACTACAGCTCCATCAATCATTCAGATATCAAGTAGGGGAAAAATACGGACTTAGGTACAGATGAAATATCTGGAAGATAAGTACACACAACTAATAATGGATCAAAAATAACTGAAGTCGTTTGAGTAGCCTAGTAGTCTCAGCAATTAGTTCCATTCTTACTTTCTGTTCGTTATGCTAACTTTTGCATAACCATCACATTGATTTCGGCCAGATATCGTCAGCATTTAGTTCACAAGTATGTGATTACTATTTGCGAATGGCTGTTAGTGTCAATTACTAGTCTGTATTAATCGTTTAGCAGTTAGTCACTACTTTTTTGTCAACTAATGCGTCTGTGAGGTTTAATTTCATTGAAGATCTTCTTCGTTTAGGGTGTTAAACAGGTCTTTAAAAACCGGAAATGGGTAGTTAAACTGCTCGATGATGATCATTGGAGAAGTTAGTAATTATAAGTAAAGAACTGTCCACCTTTTGGATTTCGATTGTTGAGGTTACCCTGGAAAAGTTAAGTACAGGTGTTTGTCAATCAGGCTGCTTGAGGCGTTGTTGTTCGTCAGCCTGTAGTATGTAAGCATCTTTGTATGGAAAACTATCTTGACAGCAGGTGGGAGATGTGTGACAGTTGAAGGCAGTGAACAACGATCAAGAGAAGATTGTAAGACTTGTACACACTTTCTAGTCATCTTAGCTGTCTTATAGGTGTTTTCAAATGATCACAAACGATGCTGAGTGGACGTTCGGCTAAGCCCATGGAGGTCAATTCAGCCCAGATGCAATAAATTGAGATTAAACTCGGGTGCAATGGCAGTAGGAAATTCGACCTTAGATTTATTTATTTGATGTAGCATGCAGTGGATGACATTTCAAGCAAAATTAATTCTTTATGTATGAAATTATGATCAAAAGGTAATTCAGTTGATAGTAATTTATCACTGTATGATATTTTAAATAACCAAGTCTTATATGAAATGCAGATTAGCATTTGTGGTTTAACAACTACCGTTCATTTGTTAAAGCAATGAAAGACATGCTGCGTAAGAGTTTTCTGAATAATAGAAGAAGACCACCTCATGCTCTCAACTTGGTCTTAACAGCCGTATGTAGAAGAGTTAATCAGTATTTCTTCAGAGTTTTCGGAAGTGTTGATACTAGGAACAGAATCTAACTGCAATCAACTGGACGATTATTGCTTCTAACTTTGTTTTGAAAGCAGTGTCGACCAAGAAAGTGACTAAAATTCACGGGTCATCAGTAATTTCGTGGTCTAGATTTGGCAGAGTGACGTGACTTTTCATGTTGGATAAATTTGGATAGTGTAATTAGAAAACGAAGTTTGTTTGAACATTGTTATGTATTTGCGCAATACATTTCGAACAATCTCATCATACGCTTACTTCACATTTGCACAAGTTACAGAAACTATCTGCGTGTGTTGACAATAGTGGAGGTGTCGTTTAAAAGGATGTGGAAACAACAACAATTTGGAACTTGTCATTTGTGATATTTTTATATTACCTTCGTCACAGATACTCTCATGGAAGCCGATACAGCTTGTTTTGGCTCTATGCTACTTTCGGTAACGAGAATGCATACGAAACGCTTCAACTCACCTGTTAATGTAAATGCGTTGCGTGAAATCAACAGCTATTCTCGAATGGGAGGTTCACTTTTAGGTTATCTATTACTCCTTTACTTTTATGTTAAACATTTTCTGACAAGAAATTAGTTTAGGCAGATTGGCTTAGAGAGTGTACCCATTTATTCGTAAGTTAACTGCTCAATAAGCAAATTTTGATTTTTTTAACGATATGATTATCCATATCCATAATCATATGTAGGTGTATATCTACAATATCTTGTGGTCAATGTTTTTTTAATATCTCATTTGCACTTAGAGTCGCCATTTCGCACCACGAGTTCAGAAGTCCAAGTTTGACCCAACATTCAGTTCTTTCACCAGGGGCGACTATCAGCGTCAGTTACATTCCGAGGTACCTCACCGCCACCACCTATCGGATTCACTTGACATACTGACAACCATACCTGCTGGGGCTCTTGCAGATAGATTTTCACATCCTGTAGATGTCATTTCACCCAACAGTTTTAAACATGAAGAATATTGCGGAAAATCTTCAAATACTCATCATTCTGGTTCCAGGACATCCACTGCAATTAGTTGTGTCGAAGATGACTCTTTTTCTCTGAATCAGAATGGTATCAGTACGAGTAGCTATGCTTCGGGGGAAGAAGCCCCCAGTGAATCTATAAAGGTAATGAGAATCTTGCTTTTTACACCAGTTTATCATTATTTAAACTGTTTTCAGATTATTACTATAGTGAAACGTGGATATGCCACTGCATGAATTTCCAAAGCTTAATTCTCATGACTTTTATTCACATTAATTGTTCTTGAAGGTGATGTGTACTTCTCTGAATTATGAGAAAATTCATGGGCACACAAATGTTAAGTGAGGCTTTGTTTAAAGCCATATTTAATTCAGTACCAGTATGTCATTCACAATACATTGTGTCCACTAAAGAAATTTCCTTTGGAAAGTTGGTCAACAGATGATGATTAAGTATTTGAAGATGAATAGGGCTAAATTGATAATATTCCATTCTCATGCGAAACATACAACTGTCATGCATGGATTAGCTTTGCATCATAGCATACGGCTGACGATCTGTAATGTGCTGCCGACCGAATTCTGTTTTCCATATAGTGGAACTGACATTCACTTATGAATCGTCACATTTTGACCCATCTGTCCTTATGTGTTCGTATCACATCCGTTTCAGGCGAATTCGTAAGTCTGCGTTAGCTATGTCTTAGTCACTGCTTGCACATATTTGTGATATAGCCATATTAGGAATATAGTCGAAAACACCTCTCATTTGGTTTACAGATGTATCGTAATTTAATAATAATTAATTAATTAATAATTCAAAATACTTTACTGCTAAGATAGACAGCAAAGTGACTTAAAGAGAATCGAATGTTGTAAAGGAAATTTGAATTTATCCGTCTATTGATTTCCGAGCTACTAGGTATCACATATCTCACTCAATATGGGTGCTACTCATTGCCTAGTGGATGAGCCTGTCTCGTTATTTCCAATTCATTTCTTTTCCATTTGCTTAGCTACTTCAGCTTATTAAAGAAATCAGCAGTTGACAACGGTTTAAGCCGCTAAACTCAACGTCAACATAAGGTAGGAAGTTAGACGGTAGTAAATTATAAGGAAAGACAATATTTTGTTTAAAAGTGGTAGCATGGAAACGAAGGAATGGCAAATAACGATATTGTGATTGCGAATGAAATGAAATGCTACAGTTTTAGTTTTCATCTTATCATTTGCATTCAAAGAATGGGGCCGAACGGTTTTTTGTGACACTTTTTTGACTAACTACCTAAGAGTCATAAACACTTACTTGTCAATATAGTAAATCATACAGAATTCATATGTCTCTCAGTTTGTAGCTTTAGAAGAATATCTTTGTGAATGTAAGGATCAAACTGTCTTTAGTGCATTTTTTTTAAACTAGTAGAAAAATGTACTCACAAAATAAATTAAGAGCTCAACAATCTGATAAGATGTGCAGTTCGGATTTGTTATGCCGAAAAAACTGTAGTCCATTCATGAAGTCGTACGAGAATTTCAGGACCGGCATCAATCAAATAGTGGGATATCATAGTCCTTCATCAAGTTCAAACCAACTGAAGAAAATGGATCTTTCTTTTAAACTTGTTCTGTTATTGATCAGTGGGTTAGTGAGCGAAGTCGTATTTTGTCTATATATTCACTGGGAATTCTCTGTTTTCCTTTCAAACCCAGTTTGAAGGTAAGCGTAGCACAAATCTAGCTGAGAGCTAGTTGATTGTTTATGTAATACATAACACAAACGCTTATGACTCGACAGTTGCACCAGTTGGCATCTGGTGACTAATCTGTTTACATGATTACAATTTTCATCTGATCTGAATCAGTAACTTTGAGTCAATGCACTTTCTTGTCCAGTTTACCTACCTAACACTTTCAACGTAGCTTGTACGCTGCATATTGTTCATGAATATTAATTGAATTACTTTAAAAGCGTCAACTACTGGTCTATTGATTGGAATTAACATGTAATTTACGATCTGAGTGGACATGTTATGAGGTACAAGAGTACTAATGATAGATAGGCATATAATTATTCATTTATTCATTCCATGCAATCTGATTTTGTGCATTTATATTGTTAATCAAGATTGAAAGTTCTACACCAATCATTCTTTTTACCATTTCACATGAATTATCTTGCTATATATATATATATATATATATATATATATATATATATATATATATATATATATATATATATATATATATAGGCGGGCCTATCCTTTTGCATATTTGAGAGCTAGGGGTATTTCCCTCTGCTATTTAAGTACTTTTTCAGTCATGCGATACTTTTATTCTATATTTTTATGATGATTATAAACCACTGCATCCGTGGTACTTTTGCAAATTAACTGACTTGATAATACCTTTATTATTGCATATAACAGCATCATAAGTTTAGTCACAAAAAGGCTCATGTGTGAATAACGTTTTCATTCAAGGATTTTTCTGGTGTTTTGATGATGTAACTTAAGGATATATGTTCTCATAACATCGATAGTAAGCCTCATTTATGACATGCCAACTATGAAACTGCTTTTTTGTGAACCCCCCTTTCTTTCTAAGGTGTTTGTTTATATCTTAATCTATTGTTGTTTGTCAGAATAGGATTATGAATGTATCCATTGCTTTTGAAACATTATTGGGTAGTAGTGTTGTTGACTTCATCAATGTTCTATGTAATAAAAATGCCGACAATAGTAGTAGCAGGTTGGTCGTGCAGTCATGAAAGTAGACTTAGTTTTTACTTTTGATTGGGATTTCTTGAAGATATTTTAATTTCACTATGTAAGATTTGTATCATTTAGATTTTTAAAACTTGAGGCAACATCAGCTTGTCAGTTTTTAAAAAAAACTCAAATCTCGATCTTACTATCGATTTCGTGTCATTTTCATTGTGTCTTCTTGAAAAAGCTCTGTTAGTTATGTTTATTTTCTTGCATCAAGCACCTCACTACTGGATTACTTTCACTTATCATGACGTAAGGCTTGATATCGAAGTTTAGGTTATATAGTATCCATTTCATTCCACGTAAGTTGATGGCTTACGAAGCCATTTTGCTCAGAATATTCGTTCTTTTGTACTCGTTATAAATGTAACATTTTTAGTAACCCCTACAATATTGTGCTGGAGCATACTTTCTTACTTTATGTAATGAAAACGTTTGTTGAACTAAACTTCTAATCGACAAAGTTCACTAATATTCAGTGTTTACCCGTTTATATCTTGCTGTCTTTTCTATTGTCTTCTTAGTTTGAACTTGATTCTCCTAACGGTCTGGCAGGCAATTATTTCAGTGAAAATCATGATGAACACGATTCAGGTAAGCAAAATGTATTATTATTATTACTGCCAGTCGGTAATTGATGTTTAGCTGTTTTTAAATTGACGCGGTTTTCAGACTTGCATATCACTATGAACCATTGGCTGAAAAGATTGTTCCTTGAGGTCCTGCAATACCAGAAAGATTTTTAGGATAGTGGTCAGACAGAAAGCGGCTGCCATCGTAGCGTTATTAGTTTACGCTATGATAAGATATACCAAGGCAAAGTCGTAGTGCTGGTTGGGTAGGGGTGTGATTGCAGTAATGTGTTTCCCTCAAATGACTGGAAGTTCATGTTGATACTGCTTTTCACGTAAGAAAGAGGGGCAAGAATAGTAAGTAGACTTCGGAAACAACACTCCCACCTGCTCTGAGGTATTCTGCTGTTAGCTGTATGAGATTTTTTTGTCCGCCATTAGAACAATCAGATTCTAACTCAATAGAACTAAAAAGACCCCGTGTGACAGACCTGAAGTTGACGTTCTATGAACTCTGTGGTCGTAAAACGTAACGTAACTTACTCAGCTACCTTGCACATATTCCTGCAGTAGGCAATTAACCACACATTGTGTCAGGGCTAGTGATACTACTTGAGTGTGCAAACCTCGGTAGGTGGAGCAGGGCTCGATCCGAGACCCAGTGGTTAATAGTCATCTCCCTAAACCACACGAATCAAACTCATTTTCTCTCTTATGTACCTTACAGAAACAACTTTTATAGTGTAGGTGGCCGGGGATTGCTATTTGCCTACATGGTTCCAGCAATAGACGAAACCCGACTAAACCATAAACTACCTTTTTAACACTTTTATCTTCTCTCCCCTTGGCTTCACTTCCTGATACCAATATTAAGCCACTTATAACTCGCTCAACTACTCACCCTGTGACCATTATTAGCATTCTTGGTTCACACGCCACCATTTCTAGTGTTCTAAAATCCGACTACTAATTTTCAACGCGCAAACTCTGTGTCATGGTAGACAGCAATCGTCGCTCACCAAAACTTGAATCATTGAAATATGCTATGGTTCTGAGACATTTATACAGGATTCGGATGTGGTTATTCCCTTCACTCCACCTAACCAATGTTGTGAATCTTTAAAATCCACTTTACGACTATCTGGACATTCAATGTCTAATTCGCATGGGGTCGCTGGTGTAGGTGTTGCATTGAGTTTTAGAGCACCCCCCAAGAGGATCCCGATCGGTAGTCGTCTGTGCGCTATCCAACTGGCTGAATCAGTAAGCACTGAGAAGAATCTTGACGCTCATCAATGCCTAGTTTTAGTCTCCACCTACGCGTGCACCAACTGAAATTCAGATGACAAGAAGTATGAAATCAAAACTGCCAATCTTCTTACATGAAGCAAAACGTCCAGCAAGTGACTTCAGTGCGTAAGTAGGGTAGCGGGGCCAATCAGAAAGGGATCTTCAGGATATCTACAGTATCCTGTACCAAATAACCGACAGTAGTGATCGTTTCTTACAACTTTGTTCTGACAGTCACTTTTTTGGCAAGTGCTAGCTTCGAGCATAAGGAGGGACACCATCTCCCTCGGTGTCCACTGTCATCTAACCAACGGTAAATGCAGATAGATCCTGTTGCTATCAACCATTGTTGGAGAGGATTGTCGCTGTTTTTGGAGTATATGCTTGGATTCTGATCATGCGTTACTACGGGCGTATGTTTACACATTACTGGTAGCGGGGAAACAGGCGGTAGTGAAGTCTGCCTCCTCCATTCGAAAATGAGAACACTTACGTATTAAGGGAGAAGAAAGTGAAGCATTTATTTGAAAGTGACAACAATTCTCATCCTATTGAAGCCTACATGATATATTCGTTCTACTGAAAAAAAGCGGTATAGACAGTTGGTATACTACATCCAGAAGTTAGTAAACATCAATGGATTTCCGCAACGTCATCCGAGCTGATTGATGTGAATTAAACGTAAATTGGCTAAGTATCTAGTTCCATAAGTGGTTAGTTATTCCAGTTTAGAAGAAGGAATAGAAGTCATCACTTAACAAGCACAGGAATAAATTTTACTGACGTTTTGTTTCAGATCTTAAAGTTCAGCCTTGCAGGAAAAGTACCTCGGGAAAAGCAGACAGGTTCCAAACTCGCGAGAGGCTACATCGATCAAATCTTCACACTTCTACAAATTTTAAGACACAAGCATACGTACCGGTCTCCGACAGCCGTCATATTTCTTGGTGTGAAGATGAAATTCGACTGCATCAACCGAGACTTCTTGTGTCAGTATCTGACTGTGAAAGGAGTTTCGAGCAATTATGCAGTGCCAGTCAAGCCTCTTTTCAAATTCATGCAACTGTGTAGCGGCTTCAAGGACGAGGATGCTGTACTGCAATATCCTCTGTCCTCTTTGTTATACGGCTGTGACTTACGGGTGTTAAAAGAAGAAGAAGACATGAAAATACTGCAGGTTCTTGACTATAGGTGTCTTCTTAGCACTGCTTATGTATGGTGGAGCCACCATGTCAGCAATGTTGAGGTGAGGCAGAGGGGACTAGACAGACAAGGCAGGCAAGTCAGTTAATGAAGTTGTAAACCTTCATCGAATGAGGTGAGTTGGAAATGTTTTCGCATGCCAAGCCACCTACCACGTTGAGGTCTAATGTCAGGAGAAGTTGGATTAAGTTAGAAGAGAGTCTAGGTGGCAGACGAAGACGTAGCCACAGATCATGAAGTCCCTGAATGTTGGTCTGAGTCGTGTATGGAAGTGTTGACTACCTGACTGGAGTCTCTGAAACGATAAGAACTAGCAGTTGAGTAGTCTTGATACAAAAAATGGGTGAAAATAGGTCACATAACCTCAGATGCATTCACTCTTTGACGTCTTCCAAAGCTTGAACATTTTAACTAACTTTCATTTTTCAATTCCTTCTTCCCCTACAAACCTCTCTCTTCTTTGATTTCAGTCTTTTTCTATCCACTTGTTCTTTGTATGCTACTATGAAGTGCGGCAAGTTGAACCGATGAATTTGTGTGTTAGTTTCTGCGTTGATTTTTTATGTCTATAAACACTAGTGTCCAGCGTATGAAGTATGTGACTGTTCTTCTGGGCCGTTTACAATGTGCAGTTAAGCCGACTGGTTATCTGAAGGTAAGTGGTATCAATGTTTGGAGGGCTTTCGTGATTTGGCTGAAGATCGGTCACAATTGCGTATATGTATATACTTTTCGTGGTCATCAAATTCTGGTTATTTTTAGGTGTCACCTACTTGTTTCGTCTCCTTTGCATTTGTCTTAGTTGCACTTTCCTTATTCACATCTTTATTAAGTTAGTTGTTCTGTTTGTCCAGTTCTGTGAAGATTCTATTCGAACCATGTAAACTGACTAGATTTTTTCTCTGACCGAATTGTAGGTAGCACAGCTTCCAGTTGGAACGTGCTTCGCAGAAATGAGCAAAGTGCTGTGCCTTACGGTGCCACGCTACTTGATTAGAGTTAAAGAATCGACTGCCTCATTTGTTACTACTGAACGACTATCTCGTGTCAAAGCAATAGTTATCGAAATCCTAGACAGTCACCTCATTAACTTTGAACTGAGCTGGTCAGTGTTGTACTTACATCGTTTCATCCCTAAGTCACAATCACTAATTTCATTATCTCTTTGCTGCCAGGGCGTAGTAAAATCTGATATAACCTGGTTATAAACTTGTGAGTAGGTACGTGAACAATAACGTTCAGTTGCTTACTTCCGTGGTAAATTGGAAAGGCAGTAAGGTAACAGATGTATCGCAGTTTCAAACTATGCACAAAATACAGTGGTTTATATTTATTCATAATGTTGTAAGCCATTTTCTCCCCCTTTCTAGAGGGACATTTTCTGTTTATTTTACCTCTTAAACCATTGTGATATTCTTTTGTATGATCTCGTACCTTTTATTGGAACTTCGAATCAAAATGATCGTGAAATAATGGAGAATATTTATAGTTCAGGTGGATGGTCTTGGTTGTATTGTGTTCTCTGAGCTGGGTTGTTTAATCATGAAGCTTTCATCGTCTTTGTGGACGATATCATCATCACTAACTTCAGTATAAAGTAAGCTGTCGATATCTCTCCGTGAGTGATTTAGTGGCTTGCTCTGACGATATGGGCTGTGATTGGTTGTTTCCTTCGATTGTTGTATCATTGACTGTATAGGCTTTCCTGTTGGCTGTTCCTCTGCTTGACCTCTGACCTTTCTGTCGTTTATCGTTTTTCTTATTGGTGCTGATGATGTCGTCCAGAAAGACGATGAAAGCTTCACGATTAAACAACGCAGCTCAGAGGACACAATACAACCAAGCAAAATGATCGGTTATAAAAGGCTTCAAGGATTTAGGGCTTCTTATAAGGATCTCAACAACCTTATTGTACACGATAAAGGAATCAATAAGCGTATTTTTAAACTCCATATTTTTTTGTCCTATGCCAACTGGTTTCATTCGGTGGTTATTTTCTCACCCTGTATAAAAGTGACATTTCAGGGTTCATGTACTTCACTAGGTTCTTGATAAATTTTAGTCTTAGATTACAAAATGGATTAGTTCGTTACTAACCACTTCTGAACAGGTAGTTTTCTCTTTTGCTCGAATACAAACGACTTTGGCATACAATTTAATTTGATGTCTCTTCTATATATGTTATGAACTTGAAATGGATATACCGAAAGTTAATCGTATTCTACAATCTAGTTACGGTGAATCCATTTGGCGTATTTCTAAACTAGGTACTTACTTTTTAGGGTAGCAAAACCATTGAAAATCCATATAATTACTTACATATTTCGGATCAATTGTGTGCTTGTGTATGTATATTTATCACTTTAGCTTTTACTTTCATGTTGATATTGTTTTAAACTGTAGTGGATTAGCAATCCAAAAGAGATTCATTTCTATTGCTTAGTTGATCGTTTCGTTTTGTATTTCTACATGATTTTGACTTTAAAATTTGGTCATTTGAAACTGTTTACATAATTTTTAAGATTCATTTTCTTAGGCAGTGACACGTTATTGCATTTAATTATTCTCAAGACTATAATCCTTATTGATTTCATATCGGTATTCATCACAGGCTGATATCAGTCTGAGAAACATTGAAAAACTGGGAGCATTGGACAACTGTTTCACTCTGCTGTGGCGACATCATATCACACGGCTCATGCTGTGAAAGCAACCATGGTCGAACACCTGAATGAAACTTTTTCGTATCTCCTACCTTTAATGGTCGTTTTTCACTGCCATATAATAGGACCAAACGAACCGCAATATAGTACACTTGACCGTTAAAACCCAATCGTGTATCATAGCGGGGCCATTGATGGCATACGTGAGTAAAAGCCAATCGACCTTTTTGTATCTGTGCAGGGAATTTATCCATCATTGTTCCACTAGGGCTGGCCCGACTTCCCAGGTAAGTGGAGGTAGTCAACTCACTCAAGAATTTAACTCCCTATTGTCAGACAAGGTGCCAACACACTGCAGTCATGGAACAATAATATGCGTTTGAATGATGAGAAACGCACCCCAGACATTGTCAAATTGCCACTCAAAGTGTCCAGAAGACTTTGTATCTTATACGCGTTTTCATCTAACGGAATTATTATCTGCGTACTCTAGATCTACCAAGGATTCTCCTGTGATAAGACCAATCTCGATAAAGACAGACGACTAGAGGGAGACGTTCGTAATCACATGTTTGACCAAGTTGAATAGGAATGGAGTAATTGGGCATCATTGATGGACACCAGTCGATATACGCAGCTCATCTGGCAACTTCCCATAAACTCTAACACGCCTTCGGCTGTTCGAATAAAAAGCCTTAAACATAGTGGTGTTTTTATCTGGAACTCCTTTCAGTAAAACTGCCATAAAGCCTCTCGATCAACGGAGTGGAATGCCACTTTCAAGTTAAAGGAATACTGATCATGTTGCGTACCAACCAGCAAGTATGCCTGTACTGTGTCATCTAGAGGAGAGTGGATATCTGGTCGATACATACCCATGACAAGGTATGAAACCTGCCTAATTTCTTCAGGTTTGCTGTTCCTGAGTTCCCTTTAGACGTCTGATAAATATAAAACTTGAAATCTTAAACTTTATGTTTGTCAGACTGATTTTCCTTTGGTTATCCCGGCAGGATATCTCTAATTTCTTGAAGATAGGAACAACCAGTGATTGGAAACAATCAGCGACGATCATGCCTGATAATAGCTTGTCTTATCCCTCTACTTTGTTTTTCTAGGCCTTCCCAAGCTTCCCATGTCCACCAAACATCAACGACCATAAGGAAGGCTTCTTATTAAATACATGCATGAAGACGGTGTACACATCAAGCCATGCACTCGTGCTAACGAAAATGGCTTCAGAGTCTTCGGTATTTACCCTTACCTCCTTAGCAGAAACGGCATCAAGTACTTGCCGTGAGTTGTCTGGTCTAGACCGCGTGGTTAGCAGGCAATTGGCCAAATTCAAGAGTCAATCGGCAACCATTTCTGAAGACTTATTTTTCAGTCATATAGGATGATGAGAGGTTTATTGCTTTAAATGTTCGATAGCGGCCGGTGGTGTATTCAGCAGGGTGTCTAGCCACCAATCCAAGTGTACAACTCTGCCTCATATCAGGGTAGGAGAATATATGGCAAAGGTAGAAGAGAAGACAAATAGACATCGTTGTTAAAGTGAAATAGAGGTCTTACCTGAAGGCGCGGTTGGCAGTCTCCAAAACAAAGAACACACAGACCAATGGGGCAAGATATAATGGGAGAGCAACAATAAGGGACGATCGTATCTGGTAATAGTCTGTCTCATCTCGCCGCCCTTTCTTGTTTGAGGTTGCACCTTTCTCACATATGCAAAAGTTACAATGTCTGTCGGTATGCAACTGTTAGTATCCAACTGGACAACGAGCAGCTAAAGACTTCCACCTGTCGTAGCAACCCACCGAGAGTGAATTGGAAACAATCCTTCACCGCTATAGTCTCACTAACTACCAACATTTTCACCCCAGTTTCTGTAATAACTTCAAGTAATTATCTCCTGTAATCTATTGCCTCTGCCCTTTCAATCTCTTCAACTTTGACCACCCACCATTATTCATAGTCTTTGCGTAGACATTTAGTCAGTCTATATTTGATTTGCTACCCATTACTACCCATTAGGCTCGAAGCCTGTAGGAACACCTTCGCGTTTACGTATTAATTCAGAAGAACTTACTGAGATCCAGTGGCCATCTCTGAGGGTCAATTAACTTCTTTAATGCTGTTCTCACAGCACACTGGATTGGATGTGGCTCCAAGGTTCCTTTAGACGAGTGATTTCGTCCTGTCTCGATAGCTGTCTAGCCCATTTGTCACTGAAACCAGAATAACTATTCTCTCTGTCGAGCATCGCTCGCAATGGTCTTGTCGCTGTAGATTTTCTGTGTCCATTTCGACTCAGGTTATCATGTGCTCGAACCAACATGTGGTCAACATACAAACATATACTCCTGAAAAAGTGACAGTCTTCCACCGACCTTCTCTAGTGATCACTGGTATGATATATCTGTGTCCTTCATTAGATTGAGGTTGACGGATACCATTTCAAACAGTGTCCTTTATTGTGTCTGAGGTCAGTGTTGGTTCACAACTTCATTGACTGACTTGCCTGCCTTGTCTGTCTAGTCCCCTCTGCCTCACCTCGACATTGCTGACATGAGCAATGCTAAGAGGACACCTGTAGTGAAAAACCAGTAGTCTCTTCAAATCTTCTTCTTTTAACACCCGTACGTCACAGCCGTATAACAAAGAGGACAGAGGATACTGCAGTACAGCATCCTTGTCCTTCACTAGGTAGTCGCATATCTTGTCAGTTGGCGCTAGAGATAATGGAGTCTATCAGATGTCAAATAGACTCTCTGTGTCCACTAGAGTGTCTCCTTATCTAGCTTATCCTACCCATTTATGCACTGAAATCGCTTACTGGGCTGACTATATTTTGACGCGTAGCTTTCAGTTAGACACCAGGTGCTTGTCATTGGAACTCATCTTTCACTTCTTGTGAACTGCAGTCATCAGGTAAGTAAGGAGAAAATGTAGAGAGATAAAAGAGAGTTTCAGTAATATTTCTAGTCCTTGCTGCACCGTTGTGTCAATTAACACACACGTGTCTATCAGGTGGAATTCAGTCGAGGAGTTTACTTTCTGCCTCAGGATTTAATGCTAAACCTTCAATTGCGACGGCGTTGGCACCAGTCATTGAATCTTCAGAAAAAGGGTGAATTCAGCGGTTTTGTCATCCTGACCGGGTGAGGGTTAAGTGAATAACTGCAATTGGGTTCTGAATGCCTCTCATAAACACAGGATACTTCTTTGGCTTGAGATGCCAGAGTTTACCTGGCGAAGCTTGTTGACCGATTCGACGGAAGAAGTGCAGATTGAAAGCTGTATTATAGTTCAGATTGCGGTTTTAAGTGAATCAGAAATACTGTTTGTGGGCCTAGTTCGATATCACGAGCTTCAGACGTGAAGTAAGACAAGGATGACGTAATAATATTGACCAAGCGGAGTAAGAAAAAGTTACAATGGAAAGTGTCGATGGTTGATAATAACTTAGAAGTACTCAAGTGGTGATGCAGTTATGCAGAATATCAGCACACACAGTGGACGGTTATTTCTTTCTGAAGTATCTCAAGAAGAGTTTGGGTTAGTGATAGTGGTGTGTGACAACAAAACTTAAGGAATACCTGTTTGAGACCGGTCACATAGCTTTTCGAGAAGTTTGTGGTTTACCTTTGATCATTTTAATACTTGTATAAAACGCATACCACAGTGCAGGAAGTAGTGTGTCGCTTTATGGACCGACTATTACCATGAGGAAAGGTGGCATCATTATTTACTGTTAGTCAACCGTGGGGAACACTTTACTGCTGTACACACTCCTCTAGTCAACAGTACGATTCCCTCCCCCCTGGCCTCCTATCAAAGTATAGTACATTTCACGTTGACGGTAGCTGCATTCTTTCTTATCCTACCAGCATAGTAGTACCCCAAGGGATCAAGTGTTTTACTCATATAGCTTGTGAGATACAAGCTTGATCACCATCAAGGTAACAGCTGTGGGGTGCTATCCCAATTAGTAATTAACCTTTCAGAAAGCTAGGACAGAAGGTGAAATTCAAAAAGCAACTTAGAATGCGTATGTCACAAATAACTGTAGTTTCTTGTGCAACAGTAATCACTTAAAGAAGTGGATCCTCAGAAGAACCACAAGGACCGAAACGCTACTAGACACTCGGTCAACGACAACTTCCCCTGAGTTTTTAATGAGGATTCTGCTGTGATTGTAGTCGGGGAAATAATTAGAATGTTTGAAAAGTTATAACAAGCTGATAATTCTCCATCACTCTAGAATGAGGCCATTTTAAAAATTGTGAATCACACGGGTGTAAAATGCATACATGAAAAATGTAGTCTACTTGTATGACTTTTAATTCCGGACTTTTTGTCATGGAATTTCAGTCTGCAATATAGCGCAAGCTTCATTATTTAGTGTGATTTATATTCCTGGGGATTGGATGGCTTTTTGTGAATTGTAATCGACAACAACACTTGCAGCAGCGAGAACCGATGCTTAATTAGGGAAACATTTCTTAGAAAGAGGGATAAAGAAAACAGTGTTGCATTTCAATGCACTAAGCAGTGTGGCTTCGTTGTGTTCATTTTGTATTTTTATGTTAGCTATTTCGGTGTGCCACTGCTACTCGAAACCTTCCCCATACATTGGTATATTACAGAACAATTGTTTTGATTGATTTATGGTATGCGATCAGCCGTCAAGACAAAGTGGCAGCGATGATTTGGTGAAATGTTTATAACCAACTGTGTTTCCGATTTTAGAGACTAGTTATCGTGATATATTTTTGCTTAGTTAAAATGAATACTTATATAAGTACCATCCGTTTGTCATTTTGTGTTGCAATTACGTGTAGATAAAATTGTTGACTAGATATTTATTGTACACCTTGCATCATGGTACTTTTGTCCAGTTGTTATCAACAGTCGATTTCGGACCTAAATAAACTCACGATTTCATTTTTGATTTATCGTAGCTAACATTTTTACCCTCCTTTTTCATTTCTTTTCTATACATGCATAACTTCACAAACCACATTGTCTTTATTCGCTGTAATATTTGCAGATGTTCGTAAGTCATGTGATATAGTTAGTGATGAACATTCCGATTCGGCACCAAATCGCAGGAACACATTGACTGCTGCGGCTACCGCCACTGATATACATGAGATTCGTAGTGAGTCGTAATTGCTAATATGAATCGTTGTTAATAATGCTGTTCGTGTGCTGTACGAAGTTTTTTCATATTCACCTCTGTAATTCTTTATTTACTAAATGTCAACATAGGATATTACACCACTGGATGGCAGTTCAGGTTACTGCACATTCATATCGTTCCATCTTGATGCAAAGGAGCAAGATGAAATATAGAGAAGTAGAACAGAAATATAATTTAGTTACATAAAAGATCTTGGGAAGATAGTAAAATCAGGTAAAGCAACTTATCAAATGTGATATACCGATGACGATGAAAATAATATATTTAAACATATGCTTCACTGAGATAACGCATGGGAAAATCAACGCAAACCTGACACGGAAGGGCTTGATTTAAGGCTTCCACACCACAACAATTGATACAAATAGAGTGAATAGATATAGAGTAATGTTAAAGTCAGCTAAACGAAGGTTTATAATTTGTTCGAAAATTCGAAGATGATAATGTGTGTATCTGTGCTATTGTAATCGATTTGAATCAAGGGTCTCTGCACCTAAAATCTTATTATCTCAGGGATACTAGTGGAGTAACCTGGTCAGACCGGCAGTTAAAGACTTTACTGTTTGGCATCGTGTCTAGTCATGCCTAGTCTTCTTTCGACCTGAGCTTAATTCAGCTAACATTATTTGTCGATTCGCAGTGGATCAGTTAGGATTCATATCTTCAGAGATGGGCTACCCTTACTTGTATATTCGTTTACGCCTAATCTCCAAATGGTGGTTTCACCATGCATGAGCAGTACTACGAAGACATCTATGGTTAAAAACCCTTACCATTCTCATGTCTTCTACTTTCGTTTGCCGTGCCTCACAGTCGTACTATTGTACAAAGTGGACTTCTGGGCAGGATGGTCGTCTTTTATTTAGATATCTCGTTTGCACCTGAGATGGCATAAGTTGGTAAATGATAGACAAAGTTTCATGTTTTCGTTAATTAACTTTATTTTATGTAGTCTATAGCCTGGTATCTATTTGATATATTCCTCGATTTGTTCCTGGATTTCACTAGTTGTTTCATGATGTATTCGTTTTGCTTTTTTCAATCAATTACCAAAGAAGATGCATCCAAAATACCCTTAGGCACATCAAACGACCAACTGAATGCAATTGATCTGCCTCGATGTATTCTTGCTGGTGGTCCAGCTTTTGGATGGACTCATGAATCAATTATTGTTTGTTGGCGTCGATTCTTAGGTGTTCTTGGCAGTTTTCATGAAATTAGCAATCCAAGTACATTGGTTGATATATTTCATTATTTGAATGAAATGACTACCTGCCTGTTAAAAATTAGAGATTATCAAGCTGTCCCAAATGCTACTGAGTTATGTGTTCAACCATTACCACCGTTTATCCCACCAGTTGATTTCATTGCACCTGTTTTGTTTGAAGTAAGTCCTTAAGTGATAGGATAAAATTATCGTTGACTCCTATCTTTTTTGAAATTATTATTTGGACAATACACTTCTGGGTTTATGTATTTATTTAAAGAATTTCATGCCTGTATATTGACCTCAATTTAACGGATCTATATAATACCTTCAATTAAAGTTGTTGTTATTTTTAAATGCCTTAAAGACAGAAAACGTTAAGCATGTATAATGAAATGCTTAGGAAGTGTAGTAAAATATGGAGTGAATGCATCTGCTATATTTGTATCGATTTCAGGTTGTTGAGCATAATGTCAACCTGAAGATTATTTCTTTTCAATCCACTTGATGTCTTCCGTTCAGCTTAGTGGTATTTCATACTGCAGGCTGGAAACTTTCCGTTTTAAGACTTCATATGTATTACGCTTCTATCTGTTCAGTGTTTATTAACGAAAGAAATCAGACTTTTAGGAGTATTATAGGCAGCAAACTTAATGACTTAGTCAAGGTATAGATTCAATAAACAAGTTTTGTATTATACATCGTATTATTATTGTAAACATAATGCTTATGCGTGAAATCATGAATGAAGGTACAATTTTGTGCAACCAATGATAAGATTAAGTCGACAGCGTAAGTGATCATTCAACACCAGGGTGAGTGGTCATAAGTTATCAACTTTAGGTGAAACTAAAATTCACGTCATATCATTGTTATTTCCCTTTTAGATTGCATTTATTTCATAGTTATACACTTGTGTTTTGTATTGAAAAACTTTGCTTTAACAGATGCCACAACTCAATGCTTTCTTCATTCATAGTCTCTCAAAATCACGGTGATCATTCAATAGGAGTTGGCTGTTTTGTTGATCACTAACGTATAAGACCTGACTGCTTTCTAAATGGATTTTTTCGTTCAAACTAGATTAATTATTGAACATGAGTTGAAACTATCTAGGTAATCTCTGATTTCTAAACGGAGTAACTATCCACTCAGTATGTGGATAGTTTATCGGATATGAAAAGGTATAACCTAGACGTTAGAATGATTTACTCAACTTATTTTTCTTCCATAAGAAAGTTTATTGTTTGCAAATGGAGTTTCCTGTTGCAAAAAGTGTCATTCATGCGCAAGAGAAATAAAGGCACTTTGTAACCATGGTGAAATGGTTGCATTATACTACTTCCGCATACTACATTTATCCAGATACAATTGAAACCTATTTATAAATTACCCGTGATGTCTGTTAACTGCACCAACTATACTTGAGTTTTCTTTGCTCTTTTTACAGTCAATGAATCTCTCTGAAGATTTTGTTGAAGCTAAACAAATAGCTCTGCGTACTCTCAGTGATATTGTTGTACGCTGTCATGATGGATGCCCTGATCTGGGGTTAATCGCTCAATTCTATCGTTTGATTCATCGAATTTGTGTTTCCAAGGAGGAGGTAATTACTTTTAGCATATATATATATATATATATATATATATATATATATATGCTAAGCACATATCTTCAGACACTGATCGCTATCTGATTGAGTATGATTTGAGTAGCCTGTATGTCGTTTCATAGTAAAACATTGCGATACTAGCATGAGCGAGATTAGTTGCGGACCCCATATGGGCGCCTGATGAGAGCACTGTGTATACGCTTTTTGAACTGACATTTATTCAAGACACTTATCTGGGATCTTGAACGCGAATTTCTGGTATACAGCATACATCAGTGACGAGAATTTTCAAAGTTCTAGCCGAATCTGTCTGTTGTCTGGTCTGCATCAAAGGCCCGAAGGTTGATGTCGACCAACTTAGTCGGTGCGTGTGATTTCAAAACAGATGCTTCACATATCACATTGAAAAGTAATTTTCTTGAATCAACTGTTTGGTTACTGAAAAAAAATATAGACAACTTAGGATTCTAGTCAATTAGAAACAGCTGATACATATGAAGATTAATTCTAAAATGAAAATATAGCATTTTTCATAAGTCAGTGTGAGGATGATATAACGGAAAATGGAATAATTGAACCAGGTACTATGAATTTTAATTTGTGCAGGAAGAATTAATAAGTCCATAGTGGCTTTTATTGTTAACCTTAATTCATAATTTGCATGTGGGCTGTTATATTACCCGAACGTAGTGACCGAAGAAAGTGGGACCACTCCTTGAGCACTTGATCTGAGGTTTCATTCCCAAGATAAAAAAGCAGTGAGGTTGTGTATTCCAATGATTACTGGTAACCAATCCGTCATTCTAGATGGTGGGGCTCATATGTCCCACTGGTTTGGAATCAGAGTTCGCCGATTACCTTAGGTATGTCCTTCATATTTACCATCTAAGTTGCAGAGCCAAACGTTCATTGTCACTCTCTCACTTATACGGAAACAGCCTCTCCTGCCGTATGAAGTCAGTGAATATGAACTTTCTGGTAGAATCTGTAAACGCAGGTCATATGGGACGTTTTTTCAGAGGAAAACCATGATCATTTCACCCTGGATCGTGTCAGGGCATTTAAGGTACACATGAAACAATGGTAGTATGTTGTGTTTTGCAGTCATGTTCGTAAAGTAAACCGACCAACATATTCCAACCTAATTGTTTCACATGTTAAGATGGGACTTTCAAGGATGTAAGCGTTGAAAGAAATGTTAGTGAGCAGAAATCCTGAAGTATCACTGAAATTCCGAGTTGAAGTCATCTGTTCTGTCAACTGATCATTTGCTTCCCGTCTACCAGTTGCTGCGATTCCATACTAGCTAAGGGATTTCGTGGCTAGTGTCGGTAAAATAAGTGAAATGACTGGTTTTGAGTTTCAGGTGTTATCAGATAACATAATTAACCCCTCTTAGAATAGATTATATAAAAAATACCTTACTGTTTTACTTACCATTGTTAGTATTCATAAGAACAATCATATTTTAGTTTCAACTACTATTCTGCATTGTAATATTTAGTATGTTTGTACATGTAATAGGAGGTACTCTTCTGGTAAATTGTACACTCGTTTGATTTGTTTGAAAATTACCCCGTGTATTCATACCAAGAGTGACGCTCAATTTAGATCGTTACACAGTGAAACAGTGTTATTTATTGGGTAACGTTCCTTACAGTTTATTTTCCATCTCTATTATCCAGTGTCCGTTGTCCACTATATATATATATATATATATATATATATATATATATATATATATATATATAAAATAAATAGTACTGTTACGCCATGCGACATTTCTAATGAGCAGACTAACCTGAAATTACAATTTAACAGTGCTCAAGTTTTTCTTCTGTATTAAGAGTGATATCCTTTTGATATGGCTGGAATCAATCCAATGCACCATTAATTATTTTTGCTCTTGTATGTTTTGTTCAGTTAACTTATTTTGTTGTATCTTCTCCCTTTCTGTTTTAGAAGTATTTGTTCGAAGTTATTCGGTCATGTAATATGCGTATATTTGTGTCCTCTCTTCCATCTACACACTTACTTATTCTGGATTTCTTAAGTGGTGTAAATGTTGTTTTGGCAAACCCTAATTCTGGAGTAGAAGTAAGTACATATTCTCTTTCATTTCCGTTACATTGCTACCTGTATATTGTTATGGAATTGGTTGTTATAAGTTATGGATAAAAAACGGCAAGAATAGTTCGAAACGTAGTTCATTCATCGCGGTTACTTCACTTTTTGTTAATATTTTTAATACGTTGATTGGTCACTGGAGGGTAACCAATTTCATGCTATCTGGTCCTGAGTGTTGACCGAATTCTATCGTTTTCTTTTCCTTATTTGATTAGACAGCTTTCGATTGGTCAAACATCCATCTTACAAAAGTCCCAGTGATTCTCTTGTAATAAATTTAAATCTTAATGTTATAGTATTCCAGTTGTTTTTATGAAATCACAAACCTCTAACACATACCATGCCACCAATTCCTTCTGGTTTTTATGGCGTAAAAATCATTTTCATCTCTGTGATTGAAAAGCCCATTGATAATTTAACTGCATTAAGGTTAGGATGTTTAACATTGCAACTCAGTAGTCATATATATATATATATATATATATATATATATATATATATAATACTCATTTAAAATGGTTGTGATACAGTTTTGGATTGATTCAAGGGGAAAACCAAATGCAGTGGAATTTTGATGATTGACTCCCTTTTGAACTGTCAGATACATTATTCAGTGACTCAAAATACCATTAAACCTCACTACTTATAGACTCTGTCTGCTGCTGTCATTCGTCGATGAGCGGGTATGCAGTTGGGGTCGGCGAATATATTTGAAATAGATCTTAGAAGACTATGAGATATTCTATACAGTGTTGCGGTGGCACGGATACATTTATAGCTTCTTCATCTGGACAGCGAGATTATCTATCTTTATTCTCTTTTCTGACTATAAGTATCTTAGTAGCGTTTCTCGCATGCGATGGATTCACCTTATTAGGAATATGGAGGTTATATAGGAAGTATTAAGCTAAAAAGGCAAATCAGTTGGTTTAGTTGTGAACTTTCACTGAATGAGGTAACTTGGGCATGTGTTGCGCATCCCGAACCACCACTTACCTTGAAGTATAATGTTAGTCGAAGCTGGGTTATCTTCGCTTCCGTACTCTTTGTACGGTGTAGTTCATTGGTGTAGGTACACAAATTTTTCAAAATGGGTTTCAAGTTGACAATCATATTATCTACTTCGACCAGTGGTAGATACTTCGAAATCTATCTTTTATTATATTATTTAGTAATTAGCAGGTCAGTAAATGAAATTTTGAAAGATTTTACTACGCTTGCGTTGAAGTTAAAAAAACTGTGCTATATCACTTACTGTGGGTACAGTGAAGCTATGCTTCCCTATTTTAGACATTCACCACATACTTTCCTCCTTATGCGTTTAATTTCACCCATTTTATGCTTGAAATCCACCTATCTTGTTGTTATATATTTTTCATTTTTATAGATTCCACGTTCAGAAGCTATCTCTGTGATATTATCCCTACTATGTTACCCACATCATTTCGGACGTTTGGAATCGATTGAATCCACTTACATGGAGCCCAGAACAATTTTGTGCACCGATTTAAAGGTAATTAAATAGAGTAATGAATCTTGATTGGTTGCTGAGTAGTGTAGCAGTAACAGTAGTATTCACTAAATGATTATAATTGCTGTACATTATAGTTAGTTGGAAAATTAGTTCAGTTGTTTTTTCTTATCGAAGGTCGACTGTGGAACTAGAATAAAAGATTGTAGAGGTTTCTGAATGGCTAACAAACAGAATTTTGACGATAAACAAGATCACTTTACCCTACCGCTTTTTAAACAGATGGTTGTGAATCTATGGGAAACTGCTGATGCAGATTATTTCCACCAATATTTGCATACGATTCACAAATCTTTACTAGTTTGTACACTCATCCAATCCTCTATCATTTCTATGATAAAGATTATATGGATCGATTTAAAGGCCCTGATTGTCTGTATGTGTAAGACTAAAATCATGCTAATTTTTTCCTTGACTGAAGTTCACCTTTACTACTACTTTTGTGAATTGTTAGGAAACGTTATCTTCATACTGTGATTTTTACGGATGATTAGAGGTTTCAATATGAATCTCTTCAACTGTCGTATAGTTTTCAGAACTCACTAGATTCCACTCTCATCTGACGCTTGTTACTAAACTATGTATACACACACATGTATCCTGTGACTATTGATATATAATGCTCAATGTAATGTGTGTTTGAAATAGTTCTCATTATCTAAATAAACAACTTCTGTAAGAAACATGGCATTACGATGAGATAGTATATAGTGGTCATATGCAAATGTAAAATGAAGGAAAAAAAACGTTGTGACTAGTATTTTAAAAGTGCACTTAATTTATTTGAGTAGTAGTTAACTCATGTGATTCAACATTTCACTTGCGTATGTTTGTGTTTTACAGTCGGTTTTGTATGTGAAATCATTTTCTCATTTTTGCTTTCGTTCAGGTTCATTTACTTACTTTTATAAATGTAAATAGATTTTCTAGGTCATTTTGTAATACAACTATACTTAGAGAACTTTATTCCTAATGTATTTACATAATGTTTTCCGAAGGAACTTAAACAGCTGTTCATGCTTGTTTCGGGGTTTATAGTTATTCGTGATCTGAAAGCTGTAGGTATAAAAATAAGGCTGTTGAGGACCGATGAAGTTGTCCATTCAGAAGTTATAATGACCTCTGATAAAATGTTACCTCTTTGTCCTTAATTAAGTTTATGTAACTGACCTCTATGTTCTACTTTGAAGACGAACTATCCTTCAAATTTTGTTGGTTCATTTTTTTCTCCATCTTCTTCCAATATTCCCTGCTTTTCCCCTACGTAATCTCATCGATTGTATGTCAATTCTGGTTAACCTTTTCAATCATATCGCTCTGCTCTGTATACTTCTTATGTTTCCTTGTGGATGGCACACACCATACCGAAAAAGGATGAGTAGACAGGAGTCAAAAGTTGTCTTTATTTCACTGTTAATGAATGTGACTTAGCACAATGAAGTGCATAGTAAATCTATATACTGACAGTTTTCATATTTTTGACATCCATTGCTGTTTTCTGGATATATCTTTGGTCTCAATTATTAAATCGCTTTTATTTATCGATTTTCATATCAAGGAATGTAATCGTATACGATAATTAGCTTACATTTAGTGGACTCAACAAGCCGTCACTTCTTGAGGCTTCTTTGTTCCGTCATACGTATTTGCTCTCCGGTGAAAGTACATCTGAAAGTCACAAACGCAATCATTTCTTGAATTACAACAAACTGCAAGAATCTTGTATGAAATGAATGCAGTGAACTATATGACGAACACATGGGAATTCATATCTGAACAGTTTTACCTCCACTGCGTATAATGACAATTTCTTCATTTGTATTTCGCAATAACATTAATAATTCATCTGGTGATTTGATTGATTTCAAGATAATTTTGAACGTGGATTGATATTAATTTGAAAACCTTGAGGCATCTTGCTTTTGAACTTCTCATCAGTTTACGGCTTCCTTGTTTCCAATGGTTTTTGATGAAAACTTCTTTGACATTAGATTAATATTCATTCTAAATAATATATAGAACTTCATTCATATGTGGTTTTATGTTTTGTGTGTTATAAAATAATACTCGACAGTTATAAATCGTCAACTGTATGCTCCTATTGTTGATAAAGTGGCAGTAATATCTCCACTATTTTTTCTTTACTATGTGTTGTTTTCACAGGTAGTGCGAATGCCTCTCCCAATTATTTGACTTTATGAAGGGATTTGTCTTTATGTAGACGATATTTAGCCACTTCTTGAAATAACATACTTCTTTTGTTTGTGTTCTGGTTCGAAGTACATAATTTGTTGACTTGTTTTGTATTTTTGGGCTATGAACAAGACATAATGTTTCTTGGTTTCACATAACCTCTGTCTTAGATAGAATCCTTTAATTACAAAATTTTGTATCCTTACGCGACTATTATAATTCTAATGTGCATTCTAAACTACTGCTCAGAAATGCTGTTTTTAAGATGAACAAAACGGGAGGCGTTATCAGCCTAACTGAATGTTCACATATCGGTTAAATTATCCCATGCACGCAATACAAGTAGGAATTTTGATGTTTTATTCTTACCGTAAAACGCTGTTACATTGATTTCATTTCTCCAAAATGAGTTGATGTTTGTTCCTAAGCCTCCTCTTTTTACCTTTTAAACAGTATTTTCATATTTCAGACCATATAAAGTAGTAGTAAATCAACTAGGTTCATCGTAGTCTGCATGTACAAACATAATCTATTCAAGTTTTTTCTGCTGATTTTATCTTTGTTATCTTCCAGTCGCAGCTAGTTCAAATGCTATCAAAAGCCGTTTTGTCAGATCCAAGTGCAGAAGTTCGATGTTTAGCAATAACTGGTTTGTCGATTTACTGTGTCATTGAGTTAATGAATCAAAATACCTCTGGGTTGCTATCATCCACCAATCCTACGCCATTTGGCAGTTTATTTTTCAATTCCATCGTAATACTGTTGGGCATGATGCGCTTTCAAAACAGAATAGTAGCCATCGTCGCAGTTGACATGATTGAGATGCTTGCCGATTACTGTTACATTCTATCATCCCGCGATGCAAATTTAGCTTCTTTGGTACTGTTGGTAAGTGTCACATGAGTACTCATCATATATTGAGTAGAAAATTCATACAATGTTTGGACGATGTCAGCGTTTTTGAAAAAAACTCTATAGACCTAGTAAATCCCTTCTTTCTACAGGTTTCTTGTACGTTCACTGAGTAATTGCGAATAAATTTTCCGACTGACAGTGACATGAATACTGGCGTCACCAACTTTGATGGTAAGCGTTCCCTACTAAGTAAGGAGACCCAGGGAACACACCACTGCCATTCTCATTCTAAGCTACGAATCTTCTCTATTTTGTTAATGAAGTAATCTAGAAAAACAGTGGAAACTCAGAAAGATGCTTCCGTCCAAGTTAGATGACGGAATTCGACAAAGTTATGAAGGCAATTGACATTTCCCAGCAGCCTACACAGTGGGAAGTTATTTCTTTTTGAAGTATCTCAAGAAGACTTTGGGTTAGTAATCGTGATGCATGACAACAAGACTCAAGGAATACCTGTTTGAGACCGGTCACACAGCTTTTCGAGAAGTTTGTGGTTTACCTTTGATCATTTTAATACTTGTATAAAACGCTTACCACAGTGCAGGAAGTAGTATGTCGCTTTATGGACAGACTTTTCTAAACTCCCATTACCATAGAAAAGGCGGCATCAGTATGGACAGTTAGTCAATTGTGAGGAACACCTTAGTGCTGTACACACTCCTGCAGTCAGCAGTACGATTTCCCCCTCTTTGGGCTCCCATCGAACTGTGGTACGTTACATGGTAACCGTAACTACTTTTTGTTTTACCACTTTTCAACAGAAATTTATTTGTATTTTGATTTTCCCTTAATTGGTCGTGATACTGTTTTTGTAATTGAATTTAATTGAATTACCGTTGGCTACATGTAATCAATACTTTCCAAAATTACTTTTCTACCATGTGGAGCCTTCACCCATTGGTACGAACACTGGAATTCCAATTGATGGGATTTTGGTTCAGACGTCACTTTACTTACTGATATCTTGCAGCCAGATGGTATCACTAACCTCCACATGTAAGGTTTGGCTCATTGTCCTTTGTGCAAACGTGCAAGTGGTGGGTTAGTGCACTTCTGCTAGACATTAATTATGTATTTGTATGTACGTTGCTGTATAAAACTAAGCAGATAAATAAATAAAATAATTTAGATCATAATCAGATAGTTTTGTAATTCATGGTGCTGCGTTTAAATACAATTCAGTGAAGATCCAGCAATCACACTAATGTTGCGATAATGAAAGGTGAACAGTAAAATGAGGAAAGAAAGAAAGAAATCTTAGATCATTGTGTTTAGAATAGTTGAATAACCACTGTTTACGCTATGAAAAGTATGCGTATTATCCGGTTATCTACGTTGCACAATACTCATTCTATCAGTTTTCGTTGGTTAATTTCATAGGCCCCCACACTGCTTAGATGAGTTGTCGGTCGACTAATGTCATACTGTTTGGCTAGTCATCCTTAAACCCTCCACGTTTACACCAGTCAGCGTCAGGTATTGAAATGGAAATTTTCAATGTCTCATGCTAAATTTGTGTGACGAAAGATGATTGTCTTATTTCAATAATCTAGGGTTATAACATTTTGACTCGAACTATGTATGTAACGTTAATTAGCTAGAAACTAAGTTCAATTATCTTCCCTATCCTTTATTCGTACGGGTTGTATAAGAATTGTAGTTCCCACTAAAACTGGAATGGATTCCCATTCAAAAGTAGGTGATGGTTAACCACAGAAAACGTTAAAGCCCTTATATTTATTCAATTACCTAGACGCTTGAAGAGAAATTGGATTACCATTAGGCTTTTTGTAAATGAAGTTGATATCATTGTCTTCAAATCTATTTATGCTTATTGTGCTAAGGACAGAAATAAGATACAATCTATCTGACACGTTTACATGCATAGGACATATAGAACAATCTGACCAGACATTTAGTTCTTACGGGTGTTAACATAGAAAATAATATGACGTTAAGCCATCAAAAATTAGGGGCTCCATTTTTATTATTATTATTAATTGTCCCTTGGGTTCCTAGTGAAACATAGGGCTTCAGGAGCAGGCCTCCATTTCACCCTGTTCTCGGCAGTCTTTCCAACCTAGCGCTATGACTGCCCATAAGCTTTCATTTCTTCCTCACACCATCTCCATGTCACCTTCGGACACCGAACTCGTCGTTTCTCATTTGGGTTCCACTCGAGGCATATTGCGTGATGTCCCTAAACGGTCTTCTCAGAGTATGTCCAGTCCACCTCCACTCTCTTCTTCTGCATATTTGTTGAGCGATAGGTTCTTGTTTTGGTTCGTTGGCAGGCCGGAGTGAGTACCTTATTGCTTATTCTTTCTGACCATCCGATCTTCAGTATTGAGCATAGACAGCCCTTGATGTATGATGTCTGCAGTTTGTTGGATATGCTGAAGTAAAGCATAACGTAAAATCATTTCTATATTTAAAAAATCAATGTTATTGCGGAGTGGATATCAAATCAAATAGATATATGTTTTTTCCAGGTGGAATAGTAATCAGTTAAATGTTAGTTGTGCAACGAAATCATAATGAACACAACAATCATGAGGCCGAATCTAGAGGTGTTTCATTTATACACGCCTGTCTGCGATATGAATGTGTGAATGTGTACTGATTCCTTGCATCCATGTATGCCACTTCGGTGTGATAGTGAGTCTCCTATCTTGATGCCCATATTACAAAATGATCGATAAAATTCGATGACCACTTTGGACTAGACAACATGGAGTTGTTTACCCTCCAATGATCAATCAGTGTGCACAGTGCAGTCCTACAGGAGGTCAGTCTCTGCCCTAGTAGCACAGCATAAACTGCAGCCCTAGGTGGTGTGAATTCGAATCTCGTTTTTGACTCAGTATATTTACCAGGTTATTAGATTTGAAGGCAGTGTCATTACACACTAACACCAAATAGAGAATCACTAAAATCAGCGAGTACTAGATAGCTGTTTAGTCAGTCGGATTTCTTCTATTATTCCTTTCCCCTTTGAATATGATCTATGTAATTAATTCTACAGGAGTAGCTGAACTTGTAAAGGCATACTGAAATGACCATCACTGTTAACTTATCTTTGGTTCTCCGTGCAAGTAATGGTTTTGCTGGGAAGCTGATGAAAGGGTTCGGTGCATTGAATGTTCTTCCTGCAGATCTACTCAGTTGACTTGTTAAAATATCAGAGGCAACATCACTTTTGAAAGTTTTTCTACGATATAATGGTTTCCTAGCAAAGTTATCCGGCTTTATAATCTCTCTCTTAGTCCCAACATGTGTTAATTTATGAAGCTCAGTAGATCAACATTTTGCTGCAATCTTATCTTCAAACTATCTGTTTCTTCTTCCATTCGGTTATTAGAACATATATTTCGTATTCTGTAAACCAGAAATTTCACTGGATTTCTTTTTTACTGAATTAACGTGAAGCCATGAAAAATGAATATTCTGACTAGTCCATGTGTTCTTTCTAAAAATATTCCCTTCCTTCTTCCTAGTGTAGGGTGAGGGGGGGCATCTAGGAATGGTTTACTATTCCCCTGTTCTTTCTAACAAATGAGCTTCATTGCTACTGGGTGGAAATATTCAGAAGATCGTTTTCGTTGAAATGATGACGGACGTATTGTCTGTATACCAGAAGTAAGAGTTTGGTTTACCAACTGTCTTCCTGAATGAACCGTTTTCAGGTTTTGCCAAGATATATGTGCTAGCATAGATAGGACCCAGGGGAGAGATAGTTGCAACTAAATCTCTTTATCTATGGAGTTCGTTATTAAATATGAAATGAACAGTGATCGTCCATTTCAGCGGAAATTCCTTAACTCTTTCAGATGGGTTTCCCCTGTATCTAACTTTCTTTCTGTAAGTTGGTCGCACATGCAATTGACTGTTTTCTCAAGCTGGGCACTAGTAAATAATGATGTTATATCCAACGACTTCATTCTATTGTCTTTTACATTCATATTTTTAACATGTTCTGCAAAGATGAATACATCTTTTACACTGAATCTCACTAATTCGCGATGTCGAGGTTCTTTCGTACGCATTAACCATTTTGCTGTTGATTAGTACAGAGTTTGATATGTCTAGAATTGGGCATAATGGAATTCCAGACTTGTAAACTGTTTTCAGTAGGTCATACAGTCTAGGTCTATGTGCCTGGACTTAGAGAGCAGGTTCTGCTCCATCAATGACTTCAGAGTCTTAGTCAGTTGACGTTCTGTCGCTTCTGTCGTATCTCTGCATGTTCCTAGTTTTTGAAACTTTTCGGTCACTGACAACAATGTTCATCTTATCGATATGCACAGATTTGTTCATGATAACCGTATCAGATCGTTTATCAGGTTCGGTTATCACCAAATTACCATCTCTATAAGCCTTTTGATAGCCTCGTGGTGCTTCTTTATGAGTAGGCTTTTGAAGTGGTTTGTTATTTTTAAATTGGTGACACAGCGAGCCAAGGATAAGTTAACAATGATGGTCATTTCAGTATGCCTTTACAAGTTCAGCTACTCCTGTAGAATTAATTACATAGATCATATTCAAAGGGGAAAGGAATGATAGAAGAAATCCGACTGACTAAACAGATATCTAGTACTCGCTGATTTTAGTGATTCTCTATTTGGTGTTAGTGTGTAATGACACTGCTTTCAAATCTGATAACCTGGTAGATATAGTGACTTTTTCGAGTGCTTAGCGTATTACCCTTGCTACGTTAAGTATTAGCAAACCTACATTTCTGTGTACATTGATAGTCTGCTGTATTGATTTCCTAGTTTCTGTTGAGACTGTCGTTTCATTGTTTACCTTTTCATTGTTCACCATGCAGAATGATGGCAAATTGTAACAAATTTTTTTTTCTATCAACTTTTCGTTTGTTGTTTGATTTCAGTTTTCATTTTCATAAATCACTAATAGACCAAGGAGTTAATTTATGTTTTATCAATACTTTTCTCTTTTGTTTACATATAGTCACTTGCTTGGACTTTATATACTACGTGGGATAATGCGAATCCTGATAATATGACGTCAATTGATAAAAAGGTATGTTATACCCCTTTTTTGGGTGATAAATCTGTGTATTATACAATAGTAATGTCCTTAAACCACTTCTTTTTAATGTTTGCCCATCAACCATTTCCTATTCAGATGATATATTATCTTGCGAAAGTAATGTCTCAACTTACCTGATTACCATAATAGTGTTGACCGATGTTAAACATAGTAACGTTGGGAGATTAATCAAGGATAAGTTTTAGGAGGTATATGAAACAGCTAATTCGTGTAATATTCAAAGGATACCTTTCAATGAAATTCATCATTTTGTAATATTTTTGCGTTTTCCTACATGTGACTAACCATTGTATAAATTTTAACTATGTGCTGTTTTCATTGTATTATTACTGTTTAACAGACTATCTGTTTATACAAGTACACTCATATGTCATCTTTTTGCATACAGTTTTTCCTAGGTCTAATTCAAGCCATTTCTGAATGGTCAATGCGTATACCGTATGATCAGCTTTTGGTAAATCGAGAAACTAAATCAGAATCTGTATTACCTTCATTCAACTTACTAGGCACATTGATTGAAGTGTTATGCTTTATTATTTCGAATGATAATAATTCTCAGTCATTAACGAATTTAACACATAATTCAAACTCACCGCATCTGCAAATGACATCTAGTATTTGCTTCACTGATCCTCTAGTAGAATGTCTTAGTTTTTGTCAGCAACCAATAGATATTAATTTGTTTCATGTAAGTTTCAGTTTCTGTAACGTATTTGTATAAAATCATATTCGTTTTGAATAATATAGGCATTCTATTTTACGATGTTTAGATATATTAGCCTGATGTTGACTTTGGTCAAACTTGTGGAATGTTTCTACACTACTTTACGTAAAAAAATTACATCCTCTAAATCTCATCCATTGTATACCAAAGGGTGATTGTACTACATACACGTATTCTCTGTCTTACTTTACGGTCATAGGATATGGCATTTGAAAGTGGAGAACTTTTGTATTATTTGTTGATGATATCTTCTAAAAAGACAATGCAAGCATTTCACCTGAGCTATCCAATTTAGGTGATGAAATAACACCAGATTAATCCTCTGTAGTTACGAGTCTTTACTAATCTCGTCGCTTATTAAACATGTCGAGCTTCTACCTACTTAAAGCTGAAAAGACATTCGGCTTAAAGAAAAGTTAGAGTTACAGAGTTAGCACATTGTGTTAGTCCACGAAACCAATGACTTTTCCGCTTAAACATCTTAGGAAGTTTTGACTATCTGGTGTGAATCTTTAAGAAGTTTAGTAATAAATGACTATAGGTTACTAACTGTTTCCACCACCTTTATTTTTACAAAAATGGAGATATAAACTTGATATTTTTCATCCTCAGAATAAATATTCATTGGTTTTCCACTTGCGTGTTTTGGTTACTTAAAAAAATGTTAACACCATGTGTTTTTGGACTGAAAAATCATACTGGCATGGGAATATGCTAGTTGTTTATTGATTTATCAGAAATGTATTCAGCTATGAAACATAGGTGGTTATCAACTAGAATCTTGTCAAGCAAATGATCTTTCAGTGATTTTCGCATCCCAAGAATTTCTTTCACTTTTCAAAGAGTATGATCATCAGCAATGAAAGGTTAAATGGAGTTTTAGATGCTGACCTGTTATAACCACTTTTTATACGAATGTGAAGAAATACTAACTAAAAACGTTCCAAAGAAAATACTTCAATAACGACGTCTTACTTAGTCAATACCAAAGTTCCCCTTGAACCCTAATTATAGCGTAAAGCACTTATTATTATAATAACTGCTTTTTAGTCGTGTTATTGCTTGATGCTGTACCCCCGTCCTCACAGTGGAGCCTTGGTAAACACGCGTTTGACTCGGCATCATCAGATAGTTTTTGTTGTTGGTTGGGTTAGTAAGAAATGATTTCAGAGATCACCATTCTGATTTTAATCCTAGTGAATTTCAGATAAGTGTATTAAGCATGTACAGACACTAGAATTTTAATCATTCAATTATCATTTCTTTTTGTAAATGCACGTTGGCCAATTAACTAAACCTATTTGACTTGTTTTAACTTTACTTATCCTTTCTGAAATTGCCACTTACTTGATCATCAACAATACAATGCTATGTTTTTTACAGGCTTCGAAAACAGGATTAGATTTATCATCTATGACATTCAAGTCTTTGATAGTTGCTGGTATCGAAAATTCATTATCTGGATTTCAGTATAATGAAGATATGAATCGTGCTACAGAATCAGTACGGTTAGCAGCGCGAATGACTGTCAGTCATTTACTCAACCATTTGGACCAGTTTCCCATGGTAAGTTGCTATTCTGCAGTAGGAAACTTCTGTATTATGAATATTATTATATCACTGAATATCCTAGGCGAAAAGAAATCCAATGTTTCTTCTAATTGATCTTGAAATAGTGGTCATAACATTAAAGATTAGTTTACCCAGTTTATTTGACTTGATCAAGATCTTTCTTTATTGTTGGTGTATTTAGTCACATCACTCAGCGTTTTCGTAAGTATCACTGCCGTACTGAAAAGCATACAGAAATGTGTCATTCTCGCATTTGACCTGGGTCTGTAGTGTATACATTTCTTTTCATAATGAGTAGAGAGTATTCTCAAAACTATAAAACTTTCTAAGTGTCAGTAGAGTAATATAAGAACTGTACTTTAGAAGTCTTTCAGTAACTTAATCCGATTGGCTTTTTGGTGGTTGCTTCCTTTCGGTGATGTGTTACTGCATTGAAAAAAAGATGATTTGAATCTTTTGAAAATCTCATGTACTACTTGCCTCCCTGTACTCTCAGTCATTAAATTTTTTTAGTCGAATACGTAAGTTACATCTCATTTAGCTGTCGATTTGATACTTTTTACTCTTCGTCATTCCACTTGCTTTCTCTCTTTTTTTGACAGTCTAAACAGGGTGTACAGATAAATACATCAATTCAAGAGCATCATGATCAATTGTATGATCCCATGTCTACTCAAAACTATTTAACGAGTGGTAACAATAATGACGCAAATGCTGATGAACAAGAATTAACACCTGATGTATTTGAACAAAATAATTTACAAGTGTTTGTATTAGATCGTTCAATTATACTTACATTTATATCATTGCCTATTGTTAGATGTGCCGATCAAATAAATTCAGAAAGCTTCAATGATACAACACCTATCGAATGTGATAAGGATCGTCAATTGAATTCTAATGGTTTTTCGTATGCCTACTTGCCATTATCATACTTAGGCACAGCTGAGAACTCTAAGGAGGCTTCGTTAAAGTGCAATTTAGTAACAGGTATGAATATTTTGCTGCTGAAATCTACTTTTTCTTTTGGCAATATGATAGTGAGCTTTGGATAAATATCTTTTGCAGACGTAAGCTTCGGAAGCTTTATCTTGGGTTTAGTGCTTTGCTATTTCTTCATATTTGTTGGTTCTATATGCTTTTAAAGACTTGGATGGTTTTTTACTTGCATAAATATTAGTTTTTTCTAATGTTACATTCATTAACGTGCACCATATACATCAGGGACTCATATATCTAAGTGTCATCTACTTATGGTCCTCATGGTACTGGGATGTCTTACCTACCTAGGAGTGTAACTGCATACTACAAGGTACAAAAATTCTTCGGAGATATTTGTTTTGGATATCATTTGATTTGATTCGAAGATAGGAAAACATGCAGCCGATACCAAGACTATCATTCTAAACCCGTCTCCGAAAAAGTTCAGGAAGAAGCATCACCAAAACTACTGGTCATAGTACCCATCCATAACCGAGAACAACTTATAATTTCGAAAACATAATTCAAATAAATACTGAGTCAGAAGTTTGAAGTCTATTTCTTTTGTAATGATATCGTTATTATTGTTGTTTTTTGCAGATCAGTTTTACACACGGATTATAACACGTGATTTATCTGGTAAATATAGCTGGGATGCTTCCTATCTATATGGTAGTGCATTTCAACGAAAAAGACAGTATAAAGATAAAGAGATAAATGAATGTGCCAGCAGCAATTTACCTTTGATAAACTCTGGAGATATAAACTTACACTTATCGCGTAATCCACCACCTTGTCCTCCTCCACGAATGAATCCACCTCCACTACTAAATGGTTTAACATCACCTACAATAGATAACGTCGATCGCTTAAATGATGTGAGTAATACTACCTATAGTATTGTTTCTTTCATCTGTTTATTGTTTCTCATACTATTATTATGTTTCTTTGTTCTATGCTAACCTGTGTTACTAATTATCTATTCATTTGGAGAATTCTCAAGGTTTCTTTGTTCACGAAGTTTTTTTGGTTGATAAAATTAAGTCCTCTGTGAATTGTTGCATGTAACTGCTGACTGAATCACTTTTAATTGACTACATTTTTGTTGACCAGAACCTAGAAATGTGGGTTTGTTGTTTCCTGGTGTGTCGATCGTGCTTACAAGTTAATTTACTTCATATACAATTTGCTACTATAGGAATAAAGCTCAAGATACTGATAGAATGTAATTTCTTATTAAATGCGTTCATATGGTATATAGCTCACGTAGAGAGGTGTTTGTATGCGCTTGTTCTACTTAAGGTAATTTTAAGTAAGACCGAGAAAATGAATCACGTCTGATGGACACTTGTCTATAACAGACAATTCCAGAACACAATCCTGTTAAACAAATTCAGTGCTGTTTTGGAATTATCTAAAACAACAAATGTTGGCCTAAAATCTTGTGGGAGATGATCCCGTGAGTAATGCATCTACAACTTTAAAAAAATTCGGTCGCCTCACTATTCAAGACTTCATGAGTTAGTCAAAGCCTTTGAAGTTTAAAATCAACGAACGCTAGGTGCCACTGTCACCTTGATGATTTTCATATGTATTATGTAGGGAATTTTGGAAATTTTTAAAATGGCCTCATTCTAGAGTGATGGAGAATTATCAGCTTGTTATAACTTTTCAAACATTCTAATTATTTCCCCGACTACAATCACAGCAGAATCCTCATTAAAAACTCAGGGGAAGTTGTCGTTGACCGAGTGTCTAGTAGCGTTTCGGTCCTTGTGGTTCTTCTGAGGATCCACTTCTTTAAGTGATTACTGTTGCACAAGAAACTACAGTTATTTGTGACATACGCATTCTAAGTTGCTTTTTGAATTTCACCTTCTGTCCTAGCTTTCTGAAAGGTTAATTACTAATTGGGATAGCACCCCACAGCTGTTACCTTGATGGTGATCAAGCTTGTATCTCACAAGCTATATGAGTAAAACACTTGATCCCTTGGGGTACTACTATGCTGGTAGGATAAGAAAGAATGCAGCTACCGTCAACGTGAAATGTACTATACTTTGATAGGAGGCCAGGGGGGAGGGAATCGTACTGTTGACTAGAGGAGTGTGTACAGCAGTAAAGTGTTCCCCACGGTTGACTAACAGTAAATAATGATGCCACCTTTCCTCATGGTAATAGTCGGTCCATAAAGCGACACACTACTTCCTGCACTGTGGTATGCGTTTTATACAAGTATTAAAATGATCAAAGGTAAACCACAAACTTCTCGAAAAGCTATGTGACCGGTCTCAAACAGGTATTCCTTAAGTTTTGTTGTCACACACCACTATCACTAACCCAAACTCTTCTTGAGATACTTCAGAAAGAAATAACCGTCCACTGTGTGTGCTGATATTCTGCATAACTGCATCACCACTTGAGTACTTCTAAGTTATTATCAACCATCGACACTTTCCATTGTAACTTTTTCTTACTCCGCTTGGTCAATATTATTACGTCATCCTTGTCTTACTTCACGTCTGAAGCTCGTGATATCGAACTAGGCCCACAAACAGTATTTCTGATTCACTTAAAACCGCAATCTGAACTATAATACAGCTTTCAATCTGCACTTCTTCCGTCGAATCGGTCAACAAGCTTCGCCAGGTAAACTCTGGCATCTCAAGCCAAAGAAGTATCCTGTGTTTATGAGAGGCATTCAGAACCCAATTGCAGTTATTCACTTAACCCTCACCCGGTCAGGATGACAAAACCGCTGAATTCACCCTTTTTCTGAAGATTCAATGACTGGTGCCAACGCCGTCGCAATTGAAGGTTTAGCATTAAATCCTGAGGCAGAAAGTAAACTCCTCGACTGAATTCCACCTGATAGACACGTGTGTGTTAATTGACACAACGGTGCAGCAAGGACTAGAAATATTACTGAAACTCTCTTTTATCTCTCTACATTTTCTCCTTACTTACCTGATGACTGCAGTTCACAAGAAGTGAAAGATGAGTTCCAATGACAAGCACCTGGTGTCTAACTGAAAGCTACGCGTCAAAATATAGTCAGCCCAGTAAGCGATTTCAGTGCATAAATGGGTAGGATAAGCTAGATAAGGAGACACTCTAGTGGACACAGAGAGTCTATTTGACATCTGATAGACTCCATTATCTCTAGCGCCAACTGACAAGATATGCGACTACCTAGTGAAGGACAAGGATGCTGTACTGCAGTATCCTCTGTCCTCTTTGTTATACGGCTGTGACGTACGGGTGTTAAAAGAAGAAGATTTGAAGAGACTACTGGTTTTTCACTACAGGTGTCCTCTTAGCATTGCTCATGTCAGCAATGTCGAGGTGAGGCAGAGGGGACTAGACAGACAAGGCAGGCAAGTCAGTCAATGAAGTTGTGAACCAACACTGACCTCAGACACAATAAAGGACACTGTTTGAAATGGTATCCGTCAACCTCAATCTAATGAAGGACACAGATATATCATACCAGTGATCACTAGAGAAGGTCGGTGGAAGACTGTCACTTTTTCAGGAGTATATGTTTGTATGTTGACCACATGTTGGTTCGAGCACATGATAACCTGAGTCGAAATGGACACAGAAAATCTACAGCGACAAGACCATTGCGAGCGATGCTCGACAGAGAGAATAGTTATTCTGGTTTCAGTGACAAATGGGCTAGACAGCTATCGAGACAGGACGAAATCACTCGTCTAAAGGAACCTTGGAGCCACATCCAATCCAGTGTGCTGTGAGAACAGCATTAAAGAAGTTAATTGACCCTCAGAGATGGCCACTGGATCTCAGTAAGTTCTTCTGAATTAATACGTAAACGCGAAGGTGTTCCTACAGGCTTCGAGCCTAATGGGTAGTAATGGGTAGCAAATCAAATATAGACTGACTAAATGTCTACGCAAAGACTATGAATAATGGTGGGTGGTCAAAGTTGAAGAGATTGAAAGGGCAGAGGCAATAGATTACAGGAGATAATTACTTGAAGTTATTACAGAAACTGGGGTGAAAATGTTGGTAGTTAGTGAGACTATAGCGGTGAAGGATTGTTTCTAATTCACCTTCGGAAGATTTCAGTGATGGGGTTACACTTTGAGAAGTATTCCAAGTGCTCTCTGGCTATCATTATATTTCCCGCTGTGCAGCCGACTGCTAAATTAAACACTGAGATAGGACCTTAGGCACTTTTAAATGTAGAGGAAGGCGTAGGTAACGGGAAACGAAGAAAGACAGATAGCTTATTACGACAGATATGTATCGGTGGTTGTGCAACTGACTGAAATTTTAGCTAGTGTATAAAAATTCTGATATGATCCTCTCTTACTTCTCTTGGGAGATAGGAGAAATCCTCGCATGAGAGCCACAAAGGAGTCTACGTGAACAAGGTAGTTTTCAGTATTCAGTTTTCTATAATTATCGGATAGCGCACGGTAACAACAAATCCACAGAAATCTATGCAGGTTTTAGACCTGAATATGAGTAAACTGACTAGATGTTTACACTCCGCCACATTTAAGAATACTAGCACTTTTACCGATGCCTGACACTGACTGTATTTCTCGGCCTGATGACGTCATTCCATTCCGCCAGTGGAGAAGTCTCGTGGCGTTTTCTGTCATTGGAATGGGTGTCGGTTACGTCTCTCTTTTGATGGACCGTATGCTAGAAAACCCGTGGGTGTGTCATTAGTGGGTTGTTTATATCGAGTGACTTCTATCAAGGTTGTACATTCTCTCTTCTCATTCACCTTTATCGTAGATGAACTGCTTGAAGTCTCCTTCTCGTCATTTGGCTTTGAATGGGATTCATCTTGTCACAAGCGAATCTTGAGTAGATTTGGAGTACACACATGATATAGTCATATTAGGCGAAGCTGATAAAATGCAGAGTCTTCGGCACATCTTGAGTGGCAATTGTAGAATGTTTGCGATGTTTTTCTCATCACCTGAATGCGGATTGTTGCTTCACTACTGATCTGCGTTGGCCTATTGGCCACTTCATCTACTTGGGAAGTCGGATCAGCTCCTAGTGGCTCAGTGACCTACGAAATCTACACGGATGCACACAATCGGTTTGATTGGTTTTATCAACATACGCCATCTGGCGCCACCATGATATCCAATTGCTGCTACAGTTCGCTCTATTATAATATACAGATGTAAAAAATACTATTGATGGTAGAGAACTTAAGAAAGCCTCAAGGTTTCGATCACCATCGCCTTTCTAAGACAGTTCATGTTTTGTGGTGCCATCATGCCAGTATCATAGACTCCAGGCTTGGAGTTTTAACCGAAGAAAAAATTCAGTTGATGAAGCTGTGAACGCAGATGTATCCACATGTTATCTTCATCCTAGCCGTCACACTGATTTGAGTTACTGTTAACTTCATTCTTACCGCAAATTACTTCCACTTTTGACTTTTTTCTTTCATTAGCCTCAGACTAGGAACATGCTAACAAATGGAGATTATTCTGTTACTTAAACATGCGGTAACTCGCATAGGTTTAATCTCTAAAGAAGCGGCTTTCACGAGACCGTGAAACAATTCTGTCAGACCAATCTTTGATCCTTATGTCTACAAAATATTTAATTTTATTGCCATTTATTGTAATAGGGCGTTAATAGGTTTGACAACTTGGACCATTACTCAGTAATGCTAGGTCTCCCTGTTGATATCACATCGACCTACTAGAATATCGTCTTTGTCACAATCCGTCTTACTGATACTACTCTTTTTGCTACCGCTTGAATGAATTCCATTTGTTTTCGAAGGATGTTGCTACTTCCATCTCACTCATGTATTCTGATCACCGAACGCAATAAATAGCCTGTGTGTTAGTGTTGTATGATTTATTCAGAAAGGACTAGTATATGCCACTCTCTGAGCACTTCACCTTAAGCCCGACCCATAAGGTAGTGTCGCAATTTCAGTACTTTACTGAGTTCCTGTGCTTACTAGTGATGAAAGTTGATTCGTACACGAGTCTATGTAACTTTTTCTTAGAGACTATGGTCTTACAAATCTTGGAGTCGTACCCTCTATATCCACTTATTTAGGGATGAGCCAAACATATACTTTTCCATTTTGCTTTCGTGGAAGCACTTCTACTACGTAAAGAAAGCAAATACTACTACCTAGCAGCGGTAGTAAAGGATGATGATATGAGAGCGTTTGTAGAAAATGATAGAGTTCATTTCACCTTCGACCGTTTGAGCATTTGGTTGGCTGAAGATTCGTTGGCAATATTGAGTTTACATGGATCAGTGACATCTTAATTAATATACGTTTCAACAAGAGCATTCAAAGATTCGTGTATTGATCAAGTTTTGACATGGCTTAGCATTTCCTGACTATTGATTTGTGTAGAAGTCCTCTAATGATACTGAAGCATCAGAAAGCTGTAACTTACTTAGTGCTAGCGACATAGGTGACCGTGAAATGCATCAAAATCATATAAGGTAGACCTCTTGAAATATTGTTTTCCTTTTGTAGGTTCTGCGCGATTTATCATTAACTAGCCCAGAATGTTCAATCAATTGGAATACATCAAAATTGTCAGAATACGAGCTTATGAAAGAAATGTCTGATAGAGAAAGCACTACATGTTTGAACTTGGAGAAAATGACATGTGATCAGATCACTTCTCAGTGTCGAATGGACGAAGATATAGTTCAAAAGAAACTAGCTGATTTTGATGTGTAAGTACGAATATATAATCTTTCTATCTTTTTTGAGTTTTGTGGAAATGTAAACGAAGTTGTGACAGCTGAATGGCGCTCTTTTACTTCACATATTTTTTTTCTGGAGACTGTTTTGATTTTGTCATTATCTAAAAATGAATGGTAAAGACACAAATCTACGACCTTAATTAGTTACTGAACATGCTAAATGTTTAAGTAAACGAACTGTACTTAACGTTGGAGTTATAGCTCTTTGGGTCATCCAGACAATGGTAATAGATTCAAACCTTGTTCCACGTATCGTTGTTTGGAAACTCAGATGGTATCACACTCCATAGTACATAAACCTGCACATAGTTGCTCAGTAGCGTTCTTAGAAAGTGTTCCTCTTACCTGGTTCTTTGTATTTCCATTATACTGGCTTTTGTCAGCTTCTATTTTGAAATATTAAATTCAGATTGTTGCAACCGGAAAATCCTTACAACTTTTGGTTGTCAAGCTCCTATCTCCTCTCTTTGCAGCATTCGTTACATTCTTGTAACGTATACTTACGGTTGGTCGTCAGGAATTATATATGCGCATACTTTGTATCCACACAGAACGTGCTAACAGTTTTAATGCTTCAATTCTTTGATTCCCACTTGATACTGTTGTCTTCTCAAAATGATAGGTCGCCTACTGGTGATAACATATGCTTATTGTACTCAGTTTTTCCTAGTAATCTACTGTGATATAATTGTGAAATGCTCCGTTTATAAGAGCTTACTCAGTTGTTCAGCTTTATGGTACTTTTATTATATTTTGAATTACATAACTTCTCTGTGCTTAATTTAGTCGAAACCTACTTTACTCGTCTCAGGATCTGATCAATATTCTTTTGTCTAAAGCCGCTGAGCTACTTCTTAGATTCACTATTCTTCAAATAAGACAATGTTTAGGATAATTGATTCATGGTTGTGTGTTTGCGATTCATTAAATTGTATATCGCTTTGCGGCAGCTAAGTAGTTCATGAGAGATAGTTAACATTCGTCGGCATCTTCAAGGGCAGTCAGTAATTTGTTTTTTGTTAATCATTTTTAGCGTTTGTTCTTTATTTATTATAATCTGCAAAAGAAATTTTTTGCAAGAGCATGCTACTACTCTGATGATTTGCGAAGGAATCATTTGCATGCACTTGGTTTTTGTCTAGAGTATTAGTAGATGCCGTTAAAAGGTTTATTGGTTAGAGTTCACTACATGCATCTTATAGTCTCGCAATCATGTGTTATGGTGAAAATGTCGACCAGGGTTAACGTATTTGGTCATACGAAAGTCTTATAGCCATGAGTTGCAATGTAGTGGTCAGTCGACTCAGCAAAATAAATGAACAACAGAAAATTATATGCTGTAATATTAGATAGAAATAACCAATGTGCGACCTGACACTGCTGCATAGCCGTTGAAGTTTCCACACCTTACATCATAATATCATAAGACCATCAAGATTAATAAAAACAAAATGTAAAGTTATGAAACTAAACAACGAAACGGAAAAGAGATGAAAAACAATTAAATAATATGGTATTTGACTGAGATAAAGATGAAGGTTGGACACGTAATACACACTACTGTGAATTCCGAACCATGCACTACACTCCTCACGCTACCCTCTCAAACCGTCGATTTCACTTTTCATGTGAATCACTGGTAGAAGACCTACATTTGTCCACACGATTCAGATCGGTGATCAAAAACTTCATGGATTCATACTTTTCTGCAACCTTGCTTTACTTCAGTTAAAACAGTGACCTATCCAAAATATCTCAGGCTATGAAAGTGGATATCACTAATTCAATGGTTCTATTGCAATGCTTTCATTGTTATTCTAGATAAAATCGTGTGTGTGCAATTCATAAAAAGTTGGAGTTCTAAGAATTATGAGGTCATGTTCATTTTCAACGAAAAAAATTATTAGTAATGCGAATTTATTTGATGATAATCAGAGCGAATAGATTCGTCACTTATGAGTGAATTCTAAAAGCTCACTTTTTTGAAGTTCATTGTGAATATTTTGTCTGAAATGATAGTGAACCTTTTTTAGTTACACAGCTCAACTCACAAAGTAAAAAAATCACTATCTTTTCCATTTTACCAACCGACTTGTTCCCTTAACAGACAATAATACCACTTTCTACTTACCTAATTGAGAGTGATTCTCATAGCCTGGTAGATGATAGTTTGACTTTTGAAGTGATGGATACTGGCTCCAACTATCAGTCGAACTAGCAAAATCACGGGGGTAACGAAATATACGTTTTGTTTTCACTGCTACTTATGACCAACCTTCTGCAAGTATTATCTATGTAGCATAATCAATATATAGATAAGTTTTGAGTTCTCACCCTCCACCATAAAAGTTTCATACCTATAAGACCAAAATTTCCTTGTTAAGTCCAGCTTGACGCTGAGTTAACCAGGATGAAGATTTTTCAGTTTGTAAGGTACTTGATTTCATTATGGTTAATTGTTTAGTCATCCAAGTGATGTAGAATCTGCTCATTTAGTGAAATAGGTTATGATATCCCTCATGCACGTTTTAGTTATTATAAAATATTATACTAATCTTTTATTAACTATTTGTCTCTCTTACAGAGCATCACTTTATGTTTCGTCGCAATCACTTGATTATGAATCTTCTCCAAACCACATGCTTCGTTTACAGTGTGATGAAAAGTCAGGGATTCATGATTTAGATTCAGTCAAAATGAATCCTGTACATTTTGAAAATTCACGTCATTTATTAAATCAGCTAGGTTACTTATCATGGAGACATAGACCTACAGTGGAGCTGTTACAGAAATCACCCGCTCTTGTACGCGAATTGAAACATTTAGACAATCTTGGATCGTAAGTTCGTTGCTCCTTTAAACCAACCATGAAAATAATTTAGTAGGACTTCTTAATTCTCATTCCTTGATTGTCTCACTTTATGCAGTTATATTCAATATATTTGAACTGTAAGCTGACTTATTTCACATCTTCACTAAAACCGCTTAGTGAAATAGAAAAGCAGAAGGAACTGTGAGTACTAAGGCGCTTGATTCAGACAGTTAAACTCCGGTTTCTTTCTGAAATAGAGATAACGCCAGTCAAGGAACTGACTGTGTTGGCAAACAACATTCCATCAGTCTTAAGTGAACCCAGTATGGTACCTACCCTCTTGAAGAGTCTTCATGATGTGAAAGGGTATTGTGGCGTCCTTAGTTTGTTAGTAGTCATGTCTTAAATATTGATTTCTGGTATATTTTACAATCTTTGCAAAACGTTGTAGACATCGTTCATATTGTGCATGACGATATACTTTTTTAAATGACCAGGAGGATGAAACAATCGGAAACAAACAGTAACATTTACTTAACAGAAGTATTCACGTTGACTACATGCCAATTTTGCCCTCGAATACCATGTTATCTTCCTAGTAGCCTCTCATCCGTTGTGTGTGTCTCATATATACACTTATTTCGGTGAGAGGAATGAACGTTAATTTATTAGTTTTGTGCACGTTCTTCTTATTACATTTCTACATTCAGCAAACTACTATCCTCTGCATCCTGTCTTCCGACTTCATCGGTTGAATTTGTAGTCGTTCAACAGCACAAATGCATGCAGCCACACCTTTATATTTTAAACCATCACTGGCACTAAGTACACCTGCTTCAATTTGATTGTCATAATGACATGTATAACTCTGTTATATCTGTGCTAAACGTAGTTTCTGAGTTGGGAACATTCAGTATATTTCTTTCCTTACAGCAGTATTGAGCTTATTTTATGGCAGTGTAGTATGATGCATCATATCCAAATTCAGATTGACGCATGAGCTTATGGATTTGAATTACTCAACAACCAACTTCATACCCTCATTCTGAGTCATATCTATGTTTAGTCGTCTGTTTCGAGCATTTCATGTATAATTTTTTATTTCTGACACCAACTTCAATGATTCAAATTCTTTTATGCCTATTAGCTTTTAGATTGCATCCTATTTACTCGAGTTTTTGGTGGCTAGAAAAAATCGAGGAAGAAGGATAATGTTTTTTGTCTATCATCTTTTGGTGCATTTTGACTCAGTAAAGTCTGTAGCTCATATGACTCAGTGGCCTGTAACTTTCCTGACGGCTTTTAGTTGAAGCTATTCGTGACCATACTGTAGTTTCTTTATCCTTTTACGAACAGTGAGATTGATTTTATAATAAGGAAAGAAGGGAATTGAATTCTCTATCGGTTTTGTTCTTATTAGGACTTTCGACATTGGGATTATCGTAGTCAACATTGTTATTACTATTGCACCTAATGTTTCCATTTTCTTAAGGCATCGTTCCACTTTTTGTGACCCATCTGTTGCTGTGCCAGTGTAGCTTTACATGTTTTACAACGAAATTATTTGAGTAACTTTCTCAGTCCCCTTGTTTAAGTGCTATTCGTCTCCTATTCCTCCTTACATCAGTATATTATCATTGTGTCAACTGCTGTGCATTAAGTTCATTCTATGTCGTCTAAATCGTGCTATCTGCATACTACTGTTACATTCCAGGCGGGAAACTCATAAGTTGGCTATATTCTATGTTGGAGCAGGTCAAGAAGACAAACAATCTATTTTATCAAATCAAACTGCAAGTCTAGAATTTGAAAATTTTGTTGCTGGTCTGGGTTGGGAAATTGACTTACTGAATCACAAAGGATTTCGTGGTGGACTAGAACGAAGTGGACGAGCTGGTTTATCTACACCATATTTTGTAACATCCACTTTGGAAGTTATTTTTCATGTTTCAACACGTATGCCTTCATCTACTCAAGAAGATTTGAAAGTTAGTTTTTCTTTCTCATAACAGCTGTATAATTTCTTGATGAAAAATCCTGTATACCATCTTATTGTTCCACCTATTTGTTACGCCCATTAAATGTTTTCTGTGTTTTGATGCGGCATGTTTTATATGGTGTTCCTATTTTATAAGTGAATTTATGTAATAGGATAATATCCACATGGGCTGCTTCAGCATACTCAACATAGTCATACTTTATTCCATATATCTATTTCTTTATGCTACCTAATTCTTTAAATTTTTGCAGATAAGGGGATAAAACTCTATTATCACCTATCTACCCCTTTGATACCTTAATAAGAGTGATTTACAAGATGGCTATCTACGATTGCTTCGGTCATTGAAGCAAATCTCCACTACATAAGTGCAGCTCAGCCTGCTACAGACAGAAAAAGGCAAAGAAATCAATATGTAACCTGACACACAAGTGTTTCGGTTTAGGTTACGACAATACACAGCAACACATAAAAAATAAATGAGTAGAGAAAGAGTGACATCAAAATAGATAAAAGGAAAGAGATGTCAAAGAGTGAATACATCTGCAAGAATTGTGGCCGATTTTAGGTCGTCTCACAAAGAGTCTCCAACTTTTAGTTCCTATCCTTCCAGAATCACTATTAGGTAGTCTACATCATCTCCCTACATGCTTCAGACCAATAGTCAAAGACTTCATGGAGTGGTACCACATTTCAGTCTGTTCCCCCCTCCCCCTAGTTTTTTTTCAACCGCATTCTTTTAATGTAGCTCCAGTCGCCACTTTTATATATCTTCACCAGTGACTTGATAGAGCCTGAATTATGTAAATAGGGACACGTGTACAGATACCCTTAGATTTCACCCTTAATGCTCACTCAGTTTCTCCGTAAATAGAAAAGGTAGTAATAGAACAGAAGGTGTACTTTGCAACGGCAACGTCCACAATATGTACAAAATACAAGGTTCATATATATCACAATTTATTATTATTATTATTAGTCCCTTGGGTCCCTAGTGGAACATAGGGCTTCAGTAGCACGCCTCCAGTGACCTCTGTTCTCTGATATCTTTTGAACGTGGTCCCACGACAGCCCACAAGCTCTCATTTCCTCCTCGCACGACCTCCTCCATGTCACCCTCGGACGTCCAACTCGTCGCTTCCCATGGGGATTCCACTCGAGGGCCTGGCGCGTGATGTCCTCAGTCGGCCTTCTCAGTGCATGGCCAATCCATCTCCACTTCTTCCTGCATATTTGTTGCGTGATAGGTTCTTGGTTGGTTCGTTCCCAGAGTTCCTTGTTGCTTATTTTTTCTGGCCATCTGATCTTCAGCAGCGAGCGTAAGCAGTTGTTGATGAATGTCTGTAGTTTATTGGAAATGCCTTTCGTGACGCGCCAAGTCTCTCAACCATACAGAAGCACTGACATAATTGACGTTGGTGTTGAAAACCCGGATGTTGTTCCACATGTTTAGTGGAGTGCAGAAGATCTCCACACTGGTTTCAGGCTAATGAAGGCCTGTCTTGCTTTTCCGATTCTGACTTTGACGTCCTCGTCCGTCCCGCCTGTAGTTGAAACAGTGCTTCCTAGATAAGTGAAGGAGGTTACTTCCTTCAAGTTTCTCCCGTTGACGGTGATTGGAGTTTGTTGTTGTTGTTGATGGTGGTGGTGCGGTATCTTCATCACTTCTGTCTTCTCTATATTCACCTGAAGTCCCGTCTTCGCTGCCTCTCCTATCAACTTGTTAGTTTTTGCCTGCAGATCTTCAAGTTTATGTGACATTAGGCATAAGTCATCGGCGAAATCCAAGTCTTCTAGGTTCTTTTCCGTCGTCCAGTGTATCCCCCTCTTCTCGCTGCCTACTGTTTGCTGCATGATCCAGTCCACCACAATCAAGAATATCATGGGGATAGTAGGCAACCTTGTTTCACTCCTGTCTTCACTTCAAAGGCATCACTGAGCTTCCCATTGTGGATTACTTGGCATGTGGCATCTTCATATAGTTGTTGAATGAGGCGGATAAAGGTTTGCGGTACTCAGTAGTATTGAAGCAGTTTCCAAATTACTTCTCGGTCAACGCTGTCAAAGGCCTTCTCAAAGTCGATGAAGTTGAGGTGTAGAGTTGACTGCCATTCTATGCTCTGTTCTATGATGATACGAAGCGTTGCAATTTGGTCAGCACATGATTTGTACTTCCTGAAGCCTGCCTGTTCCGGTCGTAGTTTTGAATCCAGTGCATCTTTAAGCCTCTCTAGGATGATGCGGCTTAATATTTTACTTGGGGTGGACAGGAGAGTGATTCCGCGCCAGTTCTTGCAAGCACTGAGGTCTCCTTTCTTCGGCAGTTTGACAAGGTAACCCTCCTTCCAATCGTCAGGTACCTTCTCTTCCTTCCACACCTTCTGCAATAGTGGTGTGGTGTGAGCATGTCCGCTGTTGTCTCTGCATCTGTTCTCAGTGCTTCTGGCGGTATTCCATCTGGTCCTGCTGCTTTCCCACATTTCAGTAGCTTTATGGCGTTCAGGACTTCCATTTTCGTTGGGGGATTAATGTTCACTTGTAATTCAGCGGCTGCAGGTGGTATTTCTGGACGAAGTGCAGGTGGTGGTCGATTCAAGAGCTTCTTGAAGTGGTCGGCCCATTGTTTCCTCTGTTTCTCTTCTTTCGTAATTAAATTTCCTTCTTCATCTTTTATTGGTTTCATCTGTGTTGATCTCTTCCCTGATAGCAACCTGGTTATTTGATACAATGTCGTCAGGTCTCTCTTACCTGCAGCCTGTTCTGCTTCACTTGCCAGTGTTTCGTAGAAGTGTCTTTTGTCTTTGCGTGCACTCTTCTTCACTTCTTTGTCCAGTGCTTTATACATTGTGTTCAGTTCCTCTTGTCGTTGAGCATCCTTGCACTGGTTTATCTTCTGCTTCACCATCCTCCTCTCCCTGCTCTATCAGCTTCCAGGTATCCGTCGAGATCCATTCCTTATCTTCTTTCTTCTTCCTTCCTAATACTGTTGTGCAGGTTTCTTTCCATATAGCTTTCAAAGACTTCCAGTGTTCTTCCACACAGGTTTCTTCAGGGATGTTGCTCGATGTCTCCCATTTTGTCTTGATGACTGCCTTGAAGATCTCCTTTGTAGTTTCATCCTTCAGTTTCCGAATGTTGTACTTGAATTGAGGTCTATCACCAGCTTCCTTGAAGGCTTTTAACTTGATTTGGAAGGTTCCTTGCACTAGATAGTGGTCTGAACCTACGTCTGCTCCTCTTCTTGACCTTGTGTTAAGAAGACTGCGTCTCCATTTTCTTGAGATTGAGATAAAGTTGATTTGATTTTTAGTGTGTCCATCTGGTGAAATCCATGTCGCTTTGTGGATATCTTTGTGCCTGAACACACTGCCTCCAATCACCAAATCGTTGAATGCACAGAATTCTGCAAACAATTCTCCATTCTCATTCATTTCACCTAGCGCCTCTCGACCCATGGTTAGTTCTCTTCCTGTGTTGTTTGCTCCCAGTTTGGCATTCATGTCGCCCATTAGAATTTTGATATCGCCAACTGACGTCTTGTCCAGTGTTGATTGAAGTTGTCTGTAGAATTCCTCCTTTTTCTCTTGCTCTGCATTTATATATCACAATAGCCTAGACTATTTTCAAGCTTACTAGACTTAAATTCTATTAATTTTTCAGCCGACCTGATACTTACACATTTGCTCACGTGCTTTTTCCTAAAATTTCAAGGCGAATGGTTGAAAAAGACTTGAGGCATATGCGGTTTCTTATGAAGATTTTGTCAATCTTTCTGCACATAATAACACCCCACCCCCTCCCTTGAAATGGAGATTGATAGTACAACGATGTATTTTGGTTGAATAGTAACGCTTTGCTGGTTCATGAAAAAAATTACTCCTTAATACTTTTCTGCTGAATCTGTGCTGTGGTATAGTCTGAAGTAACCGAATTGGGGCTAGAAACGAGAAGACTGGTTTGCTGACACTTGGAAGAAGGATATTTGATGAACCTTCTTCTCCTCACTTGAAAGAATTAGACTGATGAGTACTTACAAAAACATTTCCCATAGTTTTAGATGTGGAATTCCAACATTGCATGGCACTGATTCTGCAAAAATGCTTTAAGGTCACACCAACCAGTCGTGTGCATTTAATCGCTGAAGTGCGTACACAAGTTCTCCAACCTCAGTGAACCAAATTCACCTAAGCTTTTTGAGCAGGCAGTACTGTCATATTATTTTGCTTCTGTTTGACAGCAAGCCTCATTTTTCTGGATAATAAATAGCCTGAGATTTTGTGTCTATTTTAAGCGAGAGTAGTCTAAGCATAGTTGGTCTGAATAATAAGGTACTCCTCTATGCAATGAATCACCATAGTCAACATCACAGTATTCTACCCCGATGATTTGCTACTGATCGCCTGATGCTTAGTGGATGTTATGTCTGAATTGAAGCTGACTTCCAGACAATCCTTGTGCTCATCTTCTCGTATGGACACAAATCGTCTTTGATAAAGTAATCTACTATCATACGAAGCAACTATGCCAGTTGATGCGTGTGAGGGGAATCGACCCCCCTTGTGTATCTGCGTAATAGTTGACCTTGATGTTTGGGCTTGCACTGGTATTCCTTGAGAACTTCTTGTGGACATTCATTGTGAGGTTTGGTTGCAGAAAGGCACTAGAAGTGTTACATCACTTTCCAAACTTGACAAGTACCTCATGGTTTTCATCAACATGATCTTCCTGAAGGCCTGCATCATTTACTATATCGTGCCGGGTATTGGAGGGATTAATGTCGTTCTCATATATCATATTATCAGGCTTCTTGGACTCATTTTCAACTTCACTATTTCCGTCATTGAAATATTTACTTTGGTTAACATTGCTGTTTGACTAAAGTGGTAACTTGACATGCTCCTCACTTGGTGAAGGTTCGTCAACCGGGTACACCTGTTTACACTTGGTTGTAAGTTACACTTGTGGTGCGAGGGTTTTTGATACTATCCTGTTACTAAGGTCGATTTCGATGTTGGGTGTTTAAACCTGGAGACCACTGAACAATGACTAACTGCTCTAGGCACTGGAACTACAATTCATTCTAAGAGGCTGGATTCCAACCAGTTGTTCAGTTGGTTCCAACCGCACTTCACCTACAAAGGGTCGGTCAGGCAGCTGAACAACCCTTACAGATTAGGCGTTGTCCACTAGCAAGTGCTTGGATCCGCGTATGTTTGCTACCTTACATAGAAAAGCGTTGATGGAGTCATATAGCCTGGTTATGAACTATTGAAGATCGAATTCGAAAACTGAGGGAACCCTGAAAATTTCTTATAGTATTACCATTATTAATGAAATGGTTAGTTTGTCGTCGCTTGCTTTTTATGTATCTTTTTAATTTGTGTTTGTTCTAATTATTTTCTTTTTTCAGTACAAACATTTAGGGAATGATGAGATTATGATTATATGGAATGAGAATTCACGTGCTTTTAGACGTAGTGTATTACGAACACAGTTCGGTGATGTTTTAATTATTATATCACCCTTACTCAATGGACTTTACAGAGTTGAAGTACGACGTGAATCTCAGGTTGGTTACTGTAACATGTATAACTGATTTGTCATTTCATTGTTTTGTTTACTATTTCACTAATTTATGATTTTCATCTTTTTGAATGACTTATATATCAACTCCTTATATTGATTAATCAACTTTGCATTAAAAAAATGTTTTCGTGAATTGCAGAAAACGAAGAACCTTTTGTGGTGCCATATTCTTATTGACTTCTCAGTTTTTCATGTTTTTCGTTACTCAGCTAATATGTGTTATCCATGTATATCACTTAACAATTTTCTTCATCTATATAAGTTGTAGTATGCACGATATTCTTTCCATATGCACAGCAACACTGACGTTGGATGATAATAGTAATTGATAGGTAGAAAATTATGTGAAGAGTCTTGTTGATAGACTAGGTTTTGAAAACGATAAAAAATAAAGTTGTGCTTATGCCTATCTGGGGTGCAAAATAATCAAGGTTTAGTTTTAATCTAAATGGAGAACTGAATATTTTGAAATATAATTGTGTTGCATAAATCCAGTTACCGCTTTATTCGTACACGAATTCATTTCATTTATGCGAATTAAAAGCCATTTCATAACGAAAACTGTTAACTTCAAATGAAACTTATCTCATAAATTTTAGGGAAATATTTGTTTTTATTCTGATTTACATTTAATTTCCTTATCTGTAGAGTTGTGTTGTGAATATATATGCTACAGTTTTGGAAAAGTACAGTTAATGTTTAGAAAGTCGTCTCATTTTCAAACGCTATATCTTTCTATTTCTACCTACTAATAAGTTTTGTAACTAATGCTAATTCTTTTCCTGATATAATGATTAGTATTATATGTTAAGGCTTTTGCTATGAGTTTTCTGTCCATGTACATTTTTTTTATAAATTTCTTAGGTCGGCTTATTTGGACCAATCGTTGAAAATGCTGTCTTAAGCGCGAATGTACTACCTGGTTTGGTTCGTGCAACAGCTATCAACGCTAGTCGTGCTGTCCGGGCAATGAAACCTGGATATCATTATCCGTATCCTTTCTTATCATTGATATTTTTTCTCAAAAGATTTTTTACCACTAAATGTAATCTATTATTGGTACCGATGTTTTAGTAATAACCCATTCAAATTCAACCAGTTTCTTCATGTGAAATGCATATCGCATATACATCACTATCCATATTTGTAACTAAGGTAATCATTTTATATCATTCGTATTAGGTGCAATTCATTACAGTATTACCTGATCATTTTTTCATACACCTTGCTTCAAAATTATATATCCGCACCTTTTTATTGTATACCTTTTCTATTGCATTTTATTAACAGTAAAGTTGAATAAAGCACTGTACTTTTGTGACAAAACGGTTATTTTGCAAGGTCTCCTGTAGTGTGAAATGATTTATTTCATTTGAATTACGCAGCTAGCTGTTCTAGTTTTTTTCCGAAAACTTACTTACTGAGGAGTTTTCCGCATAACTAGTTGTACATTGATCCCTTGGTGTAATGGTAAATATGGGGCATAAGAGAGTATATATGTCAAATAGTAAGTAATTGTATCATCAATGAGATTCATTGTATTTTTTTCATTCATTAATTGTTTACAGATTCATTTCGAAAAGGTGTAAACAAGGCGTAATTTGTTTTTTAGTGAGTAGTATCATGTCATATGCCTTAACTTTGTACCACATAATCACTGACCACCTACGCTTCAACTAAAAGATACGAGGATCGCGCTGCAAGTTTACAGCAAATAGTATCCAAGTATACACTACCAACTTCTTTCGAAAAATATGCGGAGACTATTCTTCTTCCAAATACAAAAACTAGTAAGTTGTTTATTTTTATGCTGACATTAGTTAAATTTTGTTTTTTACCATAGCAAGCAAAAATACTCTCATCCTACTGTATGTGAATGTTAATGAACATTACTTATTATATGAACTGTTGATTTGATGCGTGATTGGACATCACAAGTCCATTTTTTTATTCTCGCCACTACAGCTACTAATACACATGAAACTATGCATTATAAGTCTACAAAGGCAACATATCAGTAAGTTTCAGTTTTCTATAAAAATATTCAGTAGGCAGTGGGCCACTTATATTCTGTGGCTGCTCAAAACCCGATAGGTGGAGTAGGGTTTCAACAGTTGCGATTATATTTTCAGAAACAAAAACTTCAGGAAACACTGCATTTTAATATCATAAATACATCATGATGTAAACGAAATCCATATCGTATCAACAGTTGTGTCTCGTAGCTCATTCATTTGAGCACTATAGAATATTGTTCATAGAATTATTGTTTTAAACTCTATCACAGACGGGGTTTTCTTTGGATTTCAGTCTAGTTGTAAATGCATTTTAAAAAGGATATATTCTTCAAGGTACCTCTTCATAAAAATGCATTTATTATAAGCTTATTGTTTTATTAGTCAGTACTTAAGTACACCGTCATTCAACGAAATTAGGAATAAAAATCACATTTTTCACTTGTTCTTTATGCACTGAGTGATATTGTTACCTTCCTTCTAACCATTTCTCGTAAACTTTTTATAATTTAAATGTGAGTCGGCGACTATTTAACTCTAATAAAATATTACCCGGAATAAAGCAAATATTAAGAATGATACAACTGTTCTGTTTGCAAGTCTCTTAGTATGACGGAGGACAATTAGAACCTTTATTGCCTTTTTAAGTTCGGTCAAACAACTGTATAATTCTTAGCTTCTACCGTTAAAGTGTTATCCACTCGTTTTACTCGGCTGGCAGATAACAGTAGGCATTGGGTTATGCTCGAATTCAAATGTTGTGTTAAAATGCGTCCACTTAGTATATATAATACGCCTAATATAACATTAAGCAAAAAGCAGTTAAAAATTCCACATCTTTTAACCTTAGTATTATATATATATATATATATATATATATATATATATATATATATAGTGCATCCATTTAGTCTTTAAAGTTTTTCAAAACACTAAATCGTATTATAACTTAAAGTCGAATATTTAAATATCTTTGGAATCGACAGTAGATGCATTCATGTTTCATGTTATTTGCTATGTTTATTCTAACTTCAGTATGTAACTTTAAATGAGAACGTTATATAATGGTAGGATTAACGGCCGTTAACATATTCACTATTTTACGTTGAATCAAAAAAATCTTTAATTTACTATAATGCTGTTTTACCCAGTTCTAAGAAGTTGAAAAACCTAACAGACAAACCTATCCACTGTTTGCCTCATTCAAAAAAAAAATATCACCTATAATTGCCAAAGTTAATTCAAGATATAATAGTGTGTGAAATTGTTGAAGATAGCCAAGGAGATTCTGGGCTAAACGTCATCGCTTTGTAAGAGAATTCCATTCTTATACTTCAGGAAAGTGCTGTCTTTTTGAAAGGCTCAGAATAGTTATCTTATTCTGTAACTGAATTCGTAAGGTAAGTTTTTCTAAGAAATTTCATATTACAGTTATTTGGTAAAATTGTCCTACCACCGTAATTGTTCTTTTTGTTCTAATTAGTCGAATTGCATCATCCTTTTCTAACCTTTTCATTCTTGTGTCCCATTGTATACATCCTAAATAAATTTGTCATTGTTCTTCTTTTCATTTATTTACAAACAGTTGAAAACGTTACTTCATCAGTGTAAGATGATAGATTTACATAGATAACTTTTATTGGCTAGTTTTCTGTACTTCTTATCTTTTGTGGTCCGTGCATGTTTTAGCATTCTGTCAATTCTCGCATAATGTCTTTAGTCTCTTGCTTCACACCTCACTTCTACATTTTTATGCAGTCTACTTACATACGATTTTACCTATTCTTTAACACAAGGTTGAAATAAATTATCTGTTTATTCTGACTCTTTACTGTCTATGTGATCATGATAAACATTAGTTTTTATTAAGTATCGTTACATGTATGTAAATGTTTACATGTAACCGTGTTTTAACCACTTCCTATGAAGCTTCATGCTTTGTCGTACCATTGGAACAAGCATTTGTTCGCCTGTATGGTGAATTAATACGTTAGAGTCTACTCATTCTACCGCTACTGTTACTACTTTTCTTCTATCCTTCCTACAACTGAAGTGGTTAGGTTAGTTCAGTATGTCCACCTTCGTCTTTATCGATTGTTTAGCACTTCGTAAAATTTCAGTGTAATTCCTTTCTGTTAGCTGGTTAATGTTACTCACTCTGTTTTCAAGTGTTCTCCATCTATATGCATCTTTATTGCTGTTGTTATTGTGGTTTTCGTATTTCCCATTATTATTGTTGTTGTTTGTGTTGTTGGTCTTGCTTATCATGTAATAGATTCTATTGCTTTCAATAAAATCTTGATTTGATTTACGGTTGATGTTTGTGTTACTGCTGTGCTTTTGTTTTCAAATATCATTGTTGCTATTATTGCTGAAGAATTTGAGTTGATGAATTTTGTTTCGCTTATCCTATTTTTTGTTGTCTGTAACTGACCTAAATCCTAAATGCATGTTGTACATGTTGTTATGTTGATAATTTGACTTGATGTCAATCTCGCTATAATCATACAATATTAGTTGCTTTAACCGTTGAGCTATTCCAACTTTTGTTTAAACCCTGTCTATAAGTTTTTGTTTGTTTTCTTCCAGATGATGACGATCGATCCAGTTGTCCAGTGAATACTTCTTCAGTTAGTAAATCAAATAGTGTGAAATTTTTGTCCGTTTCTCCTAATAAGCAAGAATCTCACCACAATCACCCTCAGACCATTATCTCTTCTTTTACTTCTAATGATGTAAGCGCTAATACCAATCATGGTGACTATAAACGGTTTAATAATGTCCGTCAAAAAGAACAAGTCATGGCTGTGCATTTAAACCGATCAGCAGGTATACTCTCAAGAACACCGTCAGTTATGCGTAACAAAGGCTTGTATACTGATTCTAATTCTAACTTTCCTTGTGTAAACTGTCAACCGTCACTGAAAAGTACTTCAATTGCTCACCCTAATGAAAATTCTGATGAATACTACATGAATGTATCCAATACAGTGTCCAGTCCACGATTGTTTCGTGGGTTGAAATCGCGTCGACATAGTGGATCTAGTAAAATTAACTGAGGCGAACTCGAGTACCACCTTATATATATATATATATATATATATATATATATATATATCACCAACCCGTAACTCGTACACCATATCAACCAAGAAGCAAGATTTTTCTTTCTTTTTTTGTTATTTTTTATACTCTTTTCTGATCGAGTAGCACATTTAAAACGAAACTTCTTGGTTCTCATCTTTTAAAAGAGTTTTCAATGAGTGCACTTTGTTTCTGTTTACTGTGTTTTTTTTACTATATGTTTATAATCACTACCTACAGTTACTATATGGTAATGTATATAGTATTTCTTGAATTCTTTTACTTCATAATCATAGTATCATAATAATAGCTTTTGCTTATGATTTGTTGTTTGTTATGAATTGGCATTGGTTACCACATTTTCTCCGTGATTACGGATTATTTTATAAATGAGTACCTTGATCAACAGAGAATAATAATGTCGGTGATATGTAACATTTATCTTGCAAATAAAATAGTAGAGAAATTGTAGTCAATTAAGTGTTCATTCCACAGCCTCATTCCTGATTTATTGATGGAAAAGAGTTAGGATCGACCATTTTCATTCAATAGAAAACGAAAGTTTCAGGCTACTCACGAATAAGTTTTACTGAGTTTTGCAAATCCGCCTTACTGTGGTGATAGTTACATATTCTCTTCTCTTTATCTCGCTTTCCATTCATTTCGTTCCCCTGCATGCTGTATTTGTTTACACCTTGATCCTACCGACTGAGATATCATGAATCTGAGGTTGCTTAAAAAGGGGAAATAGCGGTCACTCCACTCTCTCAATAATAGCCATTGAATATTTGTGCTGACTATAAAAAACGCATATTAGCGTTATAGTCTGCAATGTTTTGGCTAGCAGTATTGTCCAGGATGTGCATTTCGTCCTATTTGGACCCTGTCCGTTAGATATGCCTGCATCCCAGTGAGTGATGGTGTTCGCACTAAGACTGAAACCCAGGATCTATTACTTCAAACCTCCCAAGGTTATCTACACGACTACTGAGGCAAGAAGGCCACTTTACTGGGGACTTCGTTACTCGCTAGGATGCTCCTACATTGCGTCGATAAGTCCTAAGTAGGATGAGGTGTGCATCCCAGATCCTGTTGCTAACCTCCACCAAATAGATTGTGACACAGCGGAAAAATGGCAGCCAATAGGGGAGTTGTTTTCAAGTCATGTTCAGGTCATGATTTATGCATGCACTGACATACGAACCTGACTGGAGAAATTCGACCTCATACAAGAAATCTGATTGGTTCATTTATGGCTTCACTTTCTGAGAGTTTTGTAACTACATATATGTTATCTGTTTGCCTAATAAAAGTTGTCGTTGTTCTTGCAGTCACAGACCGTCTTTTATCTGATGATTTTACGCGGCTCTGTAAAGCAGAAGGTACTGAAGGAGGTCAGTCGTAAAAGTATTCGGTTGAGGTGTCTATTGAGTCTCAGTATCACTATACCCACGCACGCAACCACCACTGGGTCACAACAAATTTTAACAATGAATCTTCAGGCAATATAGTAGTATCTGCATAAGTTCCCACGTGCCAAAGAGATTGATCAATTCGATCCAGTATAAAGATGAAAAATTACAAGTATCAGTAAATATAAGAACGCTATTTAGAGTTAACATGTTTAGCGACTGCGTAAGTTTGGCAGCCTTTTCGATTATCCCAAGGTAACGGACATGTATCTGTTAGGACTCTGATATCCAGTCGGTGCTCTGCGCTCACTACAATAATGATGTAGCGAAGCAAACAGAAGATATGAACACATACAGTACACTTATGTTGTTAATGCCAGAGGTAGACCATTGTTGTGCCGCTAAGTTCCACTGTAGTCATTTTTCGATACAGTACATAATGATACAGGATTATTTGTGTCGCTATAGAAGCGTTTTCTAAGTCAATTTTTATTGAGACGTGAAATGCTGTTTTTATGGGATAAGATTGTATCCTTTTTAGTTGTCTTAAAACAGGTAAATAGCACGTTATTGATGCGGAGTTTATACTACTGATTTATACGAACAGTCAGGAGTCAATAAACGCTCTCCTTAGATTTCATCGGATCAGTGATCTAACCACTGGCCATCGGTTTCAGACTTTTGGAGCCAAGCTTGTCAGTGTTGTGTCCGGACAAATCCACCTTTCAGGTTCTACTCGTAAAAATACAAAAAATGGGCTAGCGTATTTATTGAATTACTGATTTACGAGTTATGTGTAAATTGCAAGGCTGAAGAAGACATTTCTCACGAATGCCTAATATTTTAGCCATTTGATTGTGCTGTCAGCAGGATTTTCATTGGAAATCACCTAATCTCGATCACATCATAGTCAGGCAGCTGAAAAACTACTAATGTATGAGAAATATCATCGCAGTTCATGCAATTTGAACATTGACGATCTTATTGAAACAGTAACTGAGACTACTTAAGTATATTTTACTACCTAGATCTTATAAGATTTTCCCTTCACACCTCTCGGTTGTTTGCAGAATTTAACGAATATGTTCACTTTCTCAAGACTTCATTACTAGCCAAACTTTAGGAAACCCACAAATCTACCGTGACGTTTCGAAAAGAGTAATTGATTTCTCCTCTTGGAAATTTTACTGAGTATTCTTTTACCCTATTGAAAACTAGTCGCATATTTTTTTTAGTTGGAGAATGAGGAATTTTCATGTGTCGTTCCCACCGCCAGTGTAAATATTGGCCGGTTAGCTTACATTTTCACTCGCAGTTCTAGCCCATACAACTTATCCCTTGATCTTTGTACGAATGTAAATGAGGTTGTCAATGGATTGACTAGATTATTTGAAAGTGTACTGCAGATTGAAAGCATTTTATCACTCTGGAATGATACCATTGTTGTAAGCATCTTTAAAAAGCCCTTAATGTATTTGGTCATCCCACTGTCCAAACCGAAGTAGGCGAGGTGGTGACCGAATCTGTGACAAGTATGGGTTACCATTTGTCCTCACTACTGTTCCCATTGCAGATTGAATAAGATAGGTTCCATCAGAAAGAGAATGGTTATCGTATCTATGTAAACACCTGGTTACATGTCACATGAATACATACTTGACGTTTTCATCTTCCAGTCGAAACATAGGCTTATTTTCTGCCGAAACATGCACGAACGCGTTGCTGGAGTTCAAGCAGATGCATCAATAAGGGAGTCAACCTCCATTGTCAGCGCAAGCTTACATTTTAATGAAACTCTACTGTATTTAGTTTTTATTATCAGTGTCTGTAAACTTCGTATTTGATTTGCATCACCTACTTGAAGCTTGCATTTACCCATACGCTGAACTGTCTGGCATGGTCACTAAGTTCATATATTTTTGCAACTGATGTAAGAGATATGAGATTTCCTGTCGAATACTGAGTATCATCCGTGAATATGATGTACCTTTTTTCACATTGGTCTGTTCATTAAAAATCAGCTCTGCGTCCCTTGTGTACAGGAATCTGCTCTACTTTTGTGAACTCAGTCTTTCCTGACAACAGTTCAATCACTCTTGAATTACTTTAATCGATAGAAAGGCCAACCCTTTTCATTTGAAAGATGTATTAGAACACGATATTGTTTTCAAACTCGGATTTAAAATTAATATTCTTCGGACATGAGTCAAATTTCTTCAGTAATCCTTCCACCTTTAATTATCTCAAATGTCGTCCACATATCTCTTATTTAATTTTATCTGCCTCAAGCTATGCTTGAAAAAAGCGTCTGTACCTAAAGGTTTCCTCACTCCAACACTATCAGTTTAACTCAATAATTTGCCGCTGAAATGAAACTACATACTGTTAATACTGTTAATGATAAGACGAAGAGTAGTTACCATTATAGTGTAAACTGCTACACCATGAGGAGTGTCCAGATAATGCGATCACCTACTACAACTATGTTCAGATAACCATTTATTTCTAGACAACATGAACCTCAGACATAAAGGAGACATTGTCTAACCCGGCGTCCCCCGAGCTCAACTCATAGGTGTATACAAGTAGACCACATTCCTATCAGTTATTCTTGGAGGACATTGCTGATCCTTTTGAAGCATATGTTCGGACTGCAACTATGCTTTGATTCGGGTACGCGTATGCCTGCGCCTAAATGGATGTAACAAAACTATAACAACAAGACTATTGTGAGTACAACTTCAAAATTAGAGCACTAAGGCGGCTTTCAGTGGGAAAACTGGCTGAACAGTTATAAGAACTTAACAAAATCTTTCACTCGGAGCAAGTGCTTTTGAGCAGCTTCTGAAAGAATGGATGCACGTGAACACATCCCTGCAGGTCAGTCACCGAGCATAGTAGGGAGTAGAAGCAACTCGAATGCAGACTGACAAAATGTCTACTCAATGACTGTGAACAGTGGTAGGTAGCAAAGGGTAAAGAGATGGAAATGTCCACTCTTATAGGTAACTTCATACTGAAGTTAGTGTTGATGATGTCGTCTAGAAAGACGATGAAAGCTTCACTATTAAACAACCCAGTTCAGAGAACACAATACAACCAAAACCGTCCATCTGAGCTACAAATATTCTCCACTGTAACGGCAGACAGTTACTTAGACTTGTTAATGAAAGTGAGGCGAAAAGATTAGTGGTTAGCGAGACGATAGCAACGAAGAATTGTCTGTGATTCACTCCCAGGGGATACAACTGCAACGATGGGCAGAACAGTTCAGTTGGCCTACAGTTATTATTCGGTTTCCCACTGTGCAGTTGGATCATGAATTCAACATTGAGATAGGCTCTCAAATGATTCCAAAATGCGAGAAAGCCATACTTTGAGACGAGAAAGAGCAAATAAGTCGGACGGACTATTACAAGAGGCGTTTGTGGACGGTGGTAGAAGATTATAGGTGAAATTAACTAAAATAATAGCTAGTGTATAAAGGTGAGATTTGGTCACTACTGACTCCTCTCAAGAAAGGAGACATCGTATGATAACGACAGACGAATTAACGTGACGCA